AAAAAAAAAAATAAAATGTCAAGATTGTTCGAATATATAAATATATTAGTATTTTTCTTTTTTCATTCTTGAGTAGTAACTGATCAATCGCATGAATGAAGAAGGAAGTGATCATATGGCGAAATAATCGATGCGAATGCACAGAAAAAGAAAATAAAAAGTATCGGAACATCCGAATAATTGATTACCATATACATATCATTTATAAGTATAATAAAGCAGATGATTTTTTTCACTAACCCTCGCTCTTTGAAACTACATCTAGTCTACGAATAGAATCAACGATTGTAAAGAGATGTTTAACGAGATGTCTCTTTTTTTTCTAAGAGCTTTAGTTTGTTTCCGGGTAAAATCTATTTACAATGATAAAATCAAAAATGAAAGAAGATATTACTGAATGCAATGTCTATTTGCATAGATTATATCAGTCGAGATTTTCATAGTATCGTTTACTACAATAGAAGAAAAAAATCTATCACAAACGAAGAAGAAGGGAATAATGAGACGGAGTCTATGAGAAGTATTTTCCGGTGTTTTTTTACATAATTTAGTAAAAGTTCTTAGAAAATAACTGATATATAACAGTAACGAAAGAAATATACATTATTTTAGTGTTTTGAATTACCTTTATTTTTTTACATAAGAGAAAGAGAGAGAGAGATAGAAGAAGAAAAAAAGAAAAGAAGAGCTATAACGTTTAGATTTTATTATTGACGATGGTAATATTAATGATGATTCTTTTTTTTTTCTTGTCAATGGCTTTGGGTTCTTATTTTCTTTGCTTCTCTCTTCTCTTTACATTAACAGAAAAGAAAAACAAGAATATTGAAGTTATAGTCGTTCGTCATTCCGTTGTTTCTCATTCAGATCTATGTGAACACCGAATAGGCAACTCGTAAAACACATATATACAGGGGCACCAACTTGCCATTTTTCTTCCATATTGTCATTTTACAAGCGTGACATGCCTTCATTTCTCTCAATTTCGTCACATATGTTTTTTTTTCTTTTATTAATAAAAAAGAGAGAAAATATACGTTTATTTGTGTGTGCAAGGCAAATATATGACAAATTCAGATGATATCCTACTCTTCTTCAGTATCATTATATTATTCAATTTGATTCATACAAAAAAGAAAACTTCCTCAATGCACAATTGTGTGTAAAAAAATATATTGCTGCGTATGTGTGTGCATGTATATGACACATGTAGATTAGTAAAATTGGTATAATCATATTTATTTCGATGTTTCAGTTACATGTGTATCAACAAAAATGCAGGAGATACGCGTTCTTATATATGTGTAGAAACCGAGAAGATAAGAAGAGATAGAAAAATTTTATATATATATATATATGTTCTATATGAAAGACAGAGTATGTGTAAATATTATTGTTGACATAGATCATAGTATAGGCATAAAAAATGATTAGAATTTGTTAATAATGATCATTTTTTTTATAGGTTATAATATTGTAGATTTCTCATTTCTTTTGTGAAACGTCATTTGTAATGATTATTTCCGAAATAAAATAATAAATTAAAAGAAAATATATTTACAGATATTTTATTGAATTAGATCAATATTGACATGGAAAGCAGGATGTCTATTGTATAGACACTCCAGTGCGAGGCGTAACAAATTAATGAGTACAAACAAAACGAATTAGAGAAAAGTATGTTTACAAAAATTTTGTTGCTCATTCAAATATTTTTCTCTTGCATCGATACCTTAAATTTTCAATAAAATTATTGTACGGAAGCCGATCTTTATAATATGATAGTTTTGCATACAGAACATATCACTAATATTGATTAGAAGTTACCTTGTTATTTCTGTGGATTGACGAAAACATGATCAGTTGCACTTGAGCTTTACGCGTAACATGTCAAACTACTGCAGCATACAAATAAGATTATCATAATTGATGCATAGTTTCAAAAGAAAACACATTAACCTATAGGTATTATCTTCCGTCAAAGTTCTGTTTCGTTACAATAATTCTCAGTTATTTATTTCATTTTGTATATATCACATGAACAGTTTTATTTTTAAATCTCTCATCCTATTGCTTGACGACATTATTATATCCGGTGCGTATACGTTAGTATAAATATTATTTTCTCTTTTTTATTAATAAAACAAGTACACATATGTTACAAAAGTAACTGACATATCAATTTTCTCTATGTTGAAGAAAATTTAACAATAAATATGATTCTTTTTTTGTGATTTGTCTGAAAACTTACAATAAAAAAATGCCATAATATTTTATTATATGATAAATGACAGGGAGAGAGAGAAATTTCGAGGTTATAAGCATACAAAGAGGAAATAATGTCGACAGAGACAATGGGCGCAGAAATTAATATGACATAAAATAACAGCTGATTATATGAAACAGACGTTAGACAAAATAAATATAATTTGACGATGGAAAAGAACAACCGTACAAACTAGAAAATCTTGTGAATCTTTAAATTGATCATATTCATATCAAATAAGACATTATTTCAACTAATTCTCTAAAAATATCTATATTTTGCATTGCATGATATACTACTGAACAAAACAAGATATATAAAGACTTGCAACAGGATATCAAACGACATATTGAAATAAATTTGTTTTGACTACACGATGATATATTAAGACATCATTAGTCAGAGAATATATCATGTTCAAAACGAATCATTTCACTTATTATTGCATGCTTAAGATAATCTTACAAAGCCCATCAGTGTCCAATTCATATTTTGTATTATATTTCTATATTATTCTGATAACGAAGTATTATTCTTGTCATATACAGATATAGTTAACTGGATAAGAACAAATGTCTAAAACACTATGTCATCTTCTATTCATTAATTTGCTAGTCTATTGAAGTCTTTCGTATTCATATATATTTATTTGAAATAGAACTAATATTCTATTATGTTTTTAGATTTTAAATGAAGATGATTAGATATTGTTAGTATAGTACTATAAATAAATCAATAGAAATAAGTAAGGCAAAAAAAAGTAGCACAATTAGTATTATTTTTATTTTTGATGAATCAATGATAATAGTTGATGTATATGATCGATGATATATCGTATTAAATGGACATACATCAATCTTATTCATCTTGTCGAAACATCTATTTCGCGTTAATAAAATAAAAAGTAGAAAATAAATAAAGGATGTATGTTTTCTAAATGCTTCAAGAGATATACGAGCTATTACGCATTTAACTTGGTGAATTTCGAGCTTTATTACAAACAGATCACATTTTCTTTGCTTCTATCTGCACTAATCTAATTAGGCATGAGTTACAGAAGCCTAGTTCCTCTTATTATATAATATGTTTTTGACATAGAAAATCTTAGAGTGATAGATAGCAACATACAATTATTTTGAAATGGATCATTAAGAATCTTGTATTAACCATATCTGTTTGTGACAGATAATAATCAACGATACGTAATAATTTGCAAACTAGTAGAGATCGTCTTGAACTTTCTAAATGAATTTCCTTGTACTTAAAGCGTAAATCCTGAGAATAATTTTTTCTCTTCTGCTTTTATGAACATAGTTTGATTAGAAAAGAAGCTGCACGACAACTTATTACGACAATAATTGAGATAGTTAAGAAAATGGATACATTCAAACTGTTACTTATTATAATGAAAATACAAAATTATTTAAATCAGTATAAGTTTATTTTCGTTTCTTATTAATAATTCAATAGATATTTTATCTCATTTCTGAGTTTCTTAATTTTTTTCATGTAATATTGTCAGTTAAATAAAACTTTGTTATAAGCTGCATCTAATTTCTAGAAAAGCATTATTTCATAATCGTAAAATATACAGTAGTTTATCTAGAAAAATATTGCTCTATTTCTATTAGATCTAAGAAAACAACTGTAATCTGATGTAGAGATGAGCAGCTTCGGTTTACTGATTACTGAAATTACAATACCGAGCTCACTATGACATTGACTACACCGTTACAGTGTGCACCCTGGAACAGTGAAGACGCTGAAAGGCCGACTTTTACTGATGTCTTAAACATATCTATATCGGTAAACGTCGATGCTTCTATGTAGTTAGCATTACAGTGAACTCACTGATGGTAAATAAACGGCAGTTTTTCAGTAACTGCACCAAGACTATTCATCCCTAATCCGATAGGCAAATCAACAAATTTTAAATTTATGTTTTGTATCAATATTGGTAAGAACTACCACTATAACTCAATTATTTATCATCAATCCAATGATCAGTAAAGAACAAATATTGCTATCGTTTTTCAATTTTTTTATTCATTAAAAATCATGGGAAAAATGATGTTGTGATTTGACATATTGACGGCAGTTTTTTCGTACACACAAAGAATTGATACTATCATCTTGGTTAATCATTCGTTTTTCTGTCTTTTGTAAACTCATAACAGCTGCTACACCAAGCTAATGTAAAAATTACAAATATAATCAGTAATTATAATAATAAAACTATGATTTAAAGGAAAGCAAACTTATTCATAATCACAATAATATAATCGGATTTAGCTGATTAAACATTTTTTGTATTCAAGAAACAGATCTTTATTATTTTTAACAACCCAGTAAAAATACTTCGAGAAAATTGATTTAGTAGTTTGTAAAAAATTCAAATACATAACTACTTAGATATAGATCTAAATTTGCTTTCCTTTTTTCTTTCCTAATTACACAAGATATATTTGTTGCATTAACAAAATGAAACATTGTTATCCATCGTTTACATAAATATTCAATTTCATTTTGCATATATATTTGATAAATTGGACATAAACGATAAAGATAACTATCAATAGCAATTGTTAAATTTTCTTCATTACAACGATCAGATAAACAAACAATTAAACAAGAAAGAATTTGTGTTGAACGTCGAATTATAATATGACATATATATTCCATATGAATAAGTTGTAATTTTTTAATTTGTTTTAAACCTAATTTATTTAAATAGATTTTTAATTTTGAATATTTACCTTGTAAAAGATAGGAAAGAAATTTTAAAGATAATGACCCATGATAATTTAATTTTGATTTCGACCATAATGAATATGGTAATAATTGTTCATGTATACATAATTCAAGTATTAATATACGAATTATTTCAAGTAAACATGAATCACATGTAAATATATCAAAATAATTCACATTTAATTTATACATAACATATGTATCAATAGATGTTAGTAAAGTTTGAAATAATGCATGACTTTTAAGAGATTTATTTGAATGAATAAATTGAAAATTAAACGAAAGAATTGTTTGATAAAATTCATGTAATTGTTTTGGTTGAAAAAGATTTTTTGAACGTAAATTTTCTGTATCTTCAACAAATGATAATTGAAATGTATGTTTAAATATAATTGAAATTAATGTATTTGGATATTCGAATGCAACGGATATTAATGCAGCGACACTTTCTTGTGTACATGCTATTATATTAATATGATAATACGATATATATTGGTCGATAGATTGTTGAAAAAGAATAATAAAATCTTGATTAAGTAAATCTGGGCAATTGAAACGATCTGACCAAGATAATATTTCAGCATAATTAAGTTCATTTTGTTTCATAGGAAAATGAAGTAAAAAACCAAGCTGAAGTGATTGAGGAAGTTTTTCATTGAACGGAATCTAAAGGTTCTTTTTATATAATGAAATACTAATATAGATAATACTGAAATCGGTATTTTTATCTTGAGGGTGGATATGGGTGCTAAGTGAATACAGTATCTACACTCACACCCACATCCACACTCTCTTTCAAATTTAGCATATAACTCACTTCTTCAAGAAAATCTTTTAATCCCATAGCTAAATGATTCAACAATATAAAACCATGACTCTTTCGTATTTCCTCTGGTAGATTATAACCTCTACTATGTAATATATCATAAGATGGTATTTGTTTTCCAAGTAATGATATAAGACTGTATCTAATATCTTCTATAAGATTTCCTAATTCAATGATAATAAAAATTCCTTGTTCAGTTCGACTAGGTAATGCATTAACATGTGTTAATTGTAGTTTTATATCAGTTATTTTTTCATTTGAATTCTTTTGTTCAATCCCATAATCATATGCTGATGTAATCATATTTGCAAAAGATTTTTGAATCATTTGAATTGTTGAATGATTCAATATAAATCCGTGTTTTTCACAATAATTATGAATACGTTCTAATTTTATATTACCATGTTTATGAGATTGAACACAGAAGAAATAGTTTTTATTAATACGTTGAGAAAATTCTTTGAATAAATAATTCAAATGATTTGAACCTTTCGAATATTGTCTTTTCATTACTATAAATGTTGAATCATCGATACGAATGTTTGTTTTTATATGAGAAGAGTTGATTAAAAATGCCTAACAACGTAATAGAATTCTTTATTTTCAAAATCTAATTTATAGTATATGATATTGAAGAGTTTTCTTGTTAAACTTTTTTTAATAGATCGAAAACTTATTTCTGATTCGAATAATTGTTTATAATAAATAAAAATGCAGTTCATTAATGCATTCAAAAAATAATTCACACGATCTTTAAAAAACAGTAGCTCATTCACAGCAGGGTATTATGTGAGATTTAGTATAAGTTAAATAATATTTTGTCATTGAAGCATATCATTATTATCTACTTACAGTATCATCATAATCAGGGCTCCGCATGGGATGGGACGACCTTTTTTTTGACATATTCCATGGGATGGGGTGGGATGAGTCACACTCTCCCGTGGGACGAAAAGTTCGTCCCATCCGATCCCATGACGACCCCTGATATATATCATACATGATAACTAACAAAGTAAATATCAAAGTTTATTTTTATAGATATGTAGCGAGAACGTCCCTTGTCAAATCTGACGAGTTTTGCTTCTGTTATGTTCGATAATTTATGAAAAGTTCTAAGTTTTATGAATTATTTTACCTACATCACGATATCTGTCTAGATTATAAAGAGAAAAACAAAACATATTGTGTATTCATAGAAATAAAGACTATGCTTGGTTCTATTAGAAAGCGACTTGATATGATTGAAGAAATTACTTTTGGACTTCAGCTTAAAGTACTATGGTAGGTGGACGAAAATCGAGATTATGTGATTAATATTTTTTTCATACAAGAGTCGATCCCTGTTTTTCATGTGTAATATGATATTTTCTATTAAAAAGTACTTACCGAACTACACGTGCTAATAGGCTTGTATATATATATATAAGCATACTAAGTTTTTTAGGTAGAATCAATTACAATGATGAAAATAAGCAATATGTATTTTTGCTTTTTATTGCTGGTCATTAACATTTCATTGACCATGTCGCAAAGGTAAATATTTCAAATAAATTTTGCATAATAATATTCCTATTTCTATCTCATTTATTTTATAGTACACTTCAAAATCTGAAAAATGATGTGAAAGCTGGTCGTGTACCTATGCGTGGTGTTAATCTTGGTGGATGGCTTGTTGGTGAATATTGGATGACATCAGCATCACCTGCATGGAGTGGAGTTCCATCAGATGTTGCTAATCATGGGGAATATAAAACTATGGAATATCTTGGTATAAATAACCATTTATATTTACATTGATTTCATATAATATCTTTCATTAGGTCATGCTAAGGGTGATAATCAATTCAAACAACATCGTGATACATATATTACTGAACAAGATTTTCGTGAAATTGCTGCAGCTAATATGAATACAGTTCGTATACCTATTGGTTATTGGATTACTGGCTTTGATAATCAACCTGGTGGTGATCCAAATGGATGGAAAGTTTATGCACCTGGAGGAATAAATTATTTAGATAGAGCTATACGTGAATGGGCACCAAAGTATAATTTACTTGTATTGGTTTCACTTCATGCAGCTAAAGGTAGTCAGAATGGTAATGATCATAGTTCTCCATCTGATCCAGGCAATTCACATTGGTCACAATATCCAGAAAATGTTCGAAATGCATTAGATTGTGTCGAATTTTTAGCACGACGATATAATAATGACTTAGCATTTTTAGGTATCGGTTTACTCAATGAACCAATGAGTAAGAATTAATAATTATATTTGATATTCTTTGAAGAAATTCTTTTTTTCTCTCCATAGGAACAACAGATGAAGGAATTTTGAAACAATATTATTATGATGCTTATGGTCGTATTCGTACATTTTCAGATTGTATGTTGACAGTAGCACCTTTACTTTATCAACAAGGACCATACGATAGTGATTGGGCTCGTTTTATGCCACCACCTCAATTTCATGGCGTTCGACATGAATGGCATCGTTATCAAATTTGGGGATATGAAGTAAAAAAACAAAATATTATCTTATTTAGATTGTTCAATATATAATCAAAACCAATTTTTTCTAGGGTTGGAATAAAGATCAATTAATAAATTATGCTGAAAATCAATTGAGAACTGATATGAAAAACTGGAAAGGTAATTGGTTATTTATTGGTGAATGGTCAATTGCATCATCAGCTGCTTTTAATGATGATGATTTACGTCGATATGCTCGAGCACAAATTGCTGCATTCAGTGAATCACCTGGTGGATGGACATATTGGACATGGAAATTTTATAATGATGATGGTTCAAAAAATGGATGGAGTATGAGAGCAATGATCAATCGTGGTCTTATTCAACTTTAAGAAATATTCAAATACAAATAGATATGGATAAAATATATATCTTTGCCTTAAAAAAAATAAATTAAATATATTTGAATACTATATAGAAAAGGTTTTAATCATTATGATATCATTGACAAGATTAAAAGTTTTACAGAATTCTCTATCATACGTCATATTACATGAAAATAAGAATAAATATTCGTATGACTTGGAAACTTCATATTTACATTTTCTTTTTTCTATTATAATTTAAATGATATGCTTTCTAACCATTAGAAATCGTTTATCTATGAAATGATACAATGGAATTTAATTCATTATTTGAGTTTACAAAGAAAAGCTTAAAATCTGTTGTATTTATAATACTGAATTTTACTAAACTAACTTTATATTTATATAATTATTTGAAGTAGACCACTATAAAAATAAATAGATAAAGAAAATTATTTCCAAACATCAATCATATAGGTTATAAGGGACAAAAATCGATTATTTGTTATCTAATATAAATATTTGTTTCTATTTGAATGAGTTTATGTCAGAAAAATCAAAAAGTGCATTGTAAAAGATAATAAACCTTTGATCTCAACTACCCACGTTTTGAGTTCTTTTCAGTGATCAGCAGTTTAAAAAGAATCATGATTACTAGTTTTGTTCGTATTAAATCAAAGTAATTGCTACAATTTATAATACGAAATGACATTGATTCCTTTCTATATTCTATTTTTAAACTGTTATACAACAGTATGTTAGAGTATATACTGCCAAATATATGATTCATTGCAAGAACCAGAACAGTTTTCATATATTATCTAAAAACATACTTGACATATTATATATATATATCTATAAACTATAACGGATGTTGTCAAGGTAAATGGATTTTTCTTTAAAAAAAAACATTATATTTTTATCACATTTATTTACGGAGATGCTATATTTATCTATTACTTAATAGAATGTACTTTTTATATTTATAAGGGTACTTAAAACTTTTATTTCTTTATGTCAGAGCATGTTCTTAGATATCTCTTTGAGTTACTTGAATATACTGAATACTAGTTCATTTGATCATCTATTATACTGTATGAAAACAATATTATAAAATACAGGGTCACTGTGCACGATAATAAAATGATAGCTAGACAAAGTTGTCCTGGAGTGAATATTAATTTACTTGGAGGACAACTTCTTTATTTAATATTTGAAGTTATTTTTAGTATAGTTAACGTGTCAGAGCCTCGACGGGCGTGACAAAACATCGATGAAAGTGTCAGAACCTCGATGAATATGACAAAAACATTACTTTGAATAGAATACAGTCTATTAAAACTAAATGTTTTGAATTGTCTATGACTACTTATATCTTTTTTCATTTCACGTAAGTATGTTTACTCTTTTAAACTTTGTTTATTAGTTTTTCTTCATGTATATTATTTCTAATCTTCAATATAGATGTTATATTATTTTTAATTTAAATCAGAATAACTATTTTAAGAATGTAAAAGGCATTTCAATTGATGTGAGTACTTATCTGCATTTTTATAAACTTCTACCTTGAATTTTATTTTATTGTTACTGTAAGTGTTCGCAATATAATTTTTAGTTTTATTTATTATAAACATAGCTGAATAAATCATCCAATAAAAATTCTTTGTGTTCTATTCGTGCTAGTCAAGGTTACCATACTATTATCTTATCATTCTTTTTAAGATTATGATAATAAAAGCACGGATGAAGGTCGCGTATATCCATTTGATAGCTGGTATATTTAAGTGCATCTATTCTTTCGTATTTTGTTTTCGAATATCGTTTAAAAATGGTACGATGGAAGAGAACAAAAATGAAATAAATCAGAACATAGCCTATTCTTATACGCCCTTACACAATCTTGACGAGAATTGATAAATTAAAAGAGTCCATATATGACGCATGCAGACTGATAACATGTTTGTTAGCCCTCTTTTCTATTCGCTCTTTTTACTTGAATAAAGTATATTACTAGCACATTGTTAAAGACCAAAGGGCAACCAAGATACTAAAATACATGTGTGTACCCACGACATGTGCTTTGTATATTATTAAAACACTAATAATAAATTAATAATAATAAGAATTCCATCAAGACTATTTATAAATCTTACTTAGCGATAAATATAATGTCTAACCTTCTGCTACATGAATAAAATATTTTTCTATTTTAGTTAAGGACATTCAATGTCATAGGTGTTAAAAAGACATTTGTACTTCTTAATCGATATTTTTATGGTATAAAAATTATATTTGTACTTTATTAATTGATATTTTTATCCTATAAAAAATATTTGTTACTTGTAAATGGATATTTTTTTTGATATAAAATACTTATCAACCGAACTTTTTATAATATAAAAAATAGATTTGTTACTTGTTAATGGATATTTTTTGATATAAAAAGACTTCATTGACGTATACACGAAATGAATATATTGTAAGCACGCCTTCTTTTTTGTATATTAAAACATCTGGAATGTTATCACAGAATTACTTCGCTCCAAGATAAATAAAAATAAGTCTATTCTAATCATCGATCGATATTAACTATTATACCTTTTGACGTCATCATCTAATTAATTATTACAAAAATATTTATTCATATGTAAGTCTAAAATATGTAAGTCTAAAAAAAGATTGTCAACATGAATGATAAAACATGACTTCATTAAGTTCTGACATCATACATATGCTATCCTTTTCTCTACATCATTGTTTTGACGTCATCATCTTTTCCATTTATACCTCTTTTCCATTTTGATGTCACGCATGATTACATCTATACTCTTTTTTTCTCGTATATACAAATACATTTTTCTTTCTTTTTTCACTCTACAGTTCATGTATATTTTTCGAAGTTTCAGTTGAGTTCATTTTTCTCTATTCCCTTTTAGTAAATTCTTTTTCGTTCGATATTATATCACATACATATATATATATGCGCATCTTAAAACAATAAAAAAAAGAAATTATATCGAAAAGCTAAAGCTTTTAGTTGATTAAGAACGTGTTAATGGTCGATTATTTTCATAATTTATAGATCAAAAATAAACCTGATGACGTTCATCATATTGTTTCTTTAATTATATATTACTAGCTCACTTCTTCTAAATTTTTTATCTTTAAGAAATGTTATGAATGTAAGTATGATGATATGTATCTTATGATTGTCTACATTATTGCTGATATTATTTTATTCTATTTTTGTTTATCTTCAATTTTTGGGTGTTTGACATCCAGACAGAGAAGTATTTATTTTATTTATTTAAATTAAATTTTGATCAAAAGCAACTTAGATGCTCTATTTTGTTTTATTGAAATACAGTAAATTCTAAAAAATAAGCACATATACATTGATTCTATTGTTTTTTCTATGCGAAATATTAAATCATTGATAAAGTCTCGTGATTCAGAAAACTATAACAAAGTACATATTTTATACGCTGTAAAATGGATACTATGCGCGTTGGATGATTAATACACGAGTAGTCGGTCAATAATTTTGTCGTTTCTTTCTGTTAACGTATGTAGAAAAAAAAAGCACCAATTGAACTGAAATAATATTCATTGACTCATATGCACTGTAGAAGGTGTTTGATTCAACATTATTCGTATAAGAAAAAATACTTTTATTTTTTTCGCTGCTTCTGTTGATAGAAATATATATAAAACTCATGATGATTTTACTATTAGCATAACAGAAGAAAGTAAAGACAGAGAGAGAGTATGTCTCTTATTATTTCTATATGATCTTAAAGCAGCGCGATTGATAGATTATAATTGTGTAAAATTTCAACATAATACATACTATATAGAATCATTCATAAAGATGTTCAGATATAAACCACTCATTTCTCCTATATGTAGTAGTGTCTAGTTTTATATTATTGTTTTTCTCGCCTAGTCATCTTTTACGAATCATTATTTTCATGCAGTCGTCTCGTAAGTAGTAAAGCTATATGCATAATTTTCTCAAACAAAACGAATCATTCTATATATTGGATGTAACTCAGTTTTGTTTGTGAGAATACAAATTTTAATTGAAAAGTTGAAATTTGTATTCTATATACTGCCTCACTCTTAGCCATTTCTGAATACTATGTGGACCACCTGATAGAAAAATAATCGGGAGATATACTTTTATTATTCAAGAGATATTTGAGCTTTTAATAGCTATAATTAAATGGTTTTTCTAAGTGCGTATTTATGTGTAGAAAAGATAAGGAAAAATTTAGCAGGTGTCAATAGAAAATAGTTATTTTCAGGATGCGACTTATTTTTACAATGTACTGCCACTAGGTTTAAAAAAACTACCATTCGCGAGTAGTGGCAAAGAGAGTAACAGAGAAGCACAAATAAAGAGAAGCAACGCGAATAAAAAAAAAGAGGGTGCAAAAGAATCCACCCTACTTTATACATCTCGAGTTTTCATTGGTTATTTATTTCACATTCTTTACTTTTAGAGAATCTTAAACTTGCAAAAAAAAGTTGGTATTAAATTCATTTACTAGATCTTCTCTATTATCATCGTATTTTATATAGCAGTAATAATAAACAATGTTTATATTTAATAGTGAATGTTCATATTTATCATTAATAAGTTTATTGATTCAACCATTATTAATCTTTATTTTTCTTCTACTTCTGTGTATTTACATACATAAATTAAAGAAAACTTATGATATTTTTAAACAAATGGGCCTACCAGGACCATCTCCACGTTTTTTCTTTGGTAATTCAATTGAATTATTTACTCATGAACGGCATTCAGCTGCTTGCTTGGCAGAGTGGACCAATAGATTTGGCAAAATCTATGGTTATTTTATAGGTCATACACCTATTATATGTATATCTGATCCAGATTTACTTCAAGAGATATTTATAACGAAATTCAGTCATTTTCATTCAAGACGACCATTACCATTACAACAACATGATCTACGTCATTTACTTGCATCAAAAGGTAAATCAACAGTTTTGTTCAATTTATAGTACTTTCATAATAATTAGTAGGGATGAATTTAGAGGAAATAGCTCCTTTACTTTCTTATTTTTCAAACTAAATAAGTTAGTTATTTTAATAGAACAGAGATTATCTTTCTAATGATACACAAAGTTTGATTAATGATCAATAGTCAGAGTGTGTATAAAAGGAGATTCATATGTTAAACAACAGAAGTTCGAACTTGGAAATATATACTAATCCTTTGATGGTGATACTTTTTCTAAACAAAATTAGATGATGAATGGAGACGACAACGTTCAATAATTCAACCAACATTTGGCATCAATAAACTAAAAGAAATGCGAATAATAATGAATAAATGTCTTAATGAATTAATAGAACAATTAGATAAACAAAATCCTGATGTTGAATTTGATATATCGCATTTACTTAAACGTACATCAATGAACATTATTTTAAATTGTGCTTTTGGTATTAATCCAGCTAAACATGAAAATTTAAGTGAACCATTTTTTCAACGATGTGTCCAAGTATTTGAATTTAGTCTATTTCAAACTATTTTAACAATATGTTCAATATTATTACCAGAATTAAATTTTCTATGGGTTTCTTATTTTAAATATACAAGTATAATTCGTCTATGGTTACATGATCATGTACCATTTTTAAATCGTTTTATTGATACAGATCCAAATACATGGCTTCTGTTTCATGTTGAAAATATAATTAAACAACGTCAACTACACGGAATAGAAAGAGTTGATCTGTTACAATCAATGATCGAAGCGACTACTATTCTTCAAAAAACGTCTTCGGTAATCTTTTTTTAAATATATATTTTTCTTCGTAATAATTTTCTTTCTTATTTTCTAGTCATCATCATTACCGAAGCATTATTTAAATCAAGATGAATTATCAAATAATATCTATTTATTTATGCTTGGTGGATATGAAACAACAGCAACAGCATTATCTTATCTATCATTTATATTAGCAACACATCAAAATGAACAAGCATATTTGCAAGATGAAATTGATCGTGTCGGCGATGATTATGATCAATTAATTAAACTTGAATATCTCGATTGGTTTATACGTGAAACATTACGATTATATCCTATTGCACCATTTATTGTTAATCGACAATGTAACAAAGAATGTCAAATAGGTGAATTAAAAATCGAAGAAGGTACAAATATTACAGTTGATATGCATAGTATACATTATGATGAACAATTATATGGTCCAGTAAGTCCATTGAAATTTTATCCTGAACGTTTCCGTGAAAAACGTCATCCATTAGCTTGGTTACCATTTGGTGCAGGACCAAGAAATTGTATTGGAATGCGTTTTGCAATGTTAGAAATCAAACTAGCATTGGTACAAATACTTCGTCGATATACAATTTTATCCGGTGAACATACATTAAGTAGATTTGCTGAGCATGAACGATTTGTTATTGCACCTAAAAATGGTATTTGGGTTCGTTTACAACGGCGAGACAGTCCTATGTAGTCAAATAAATGTGTAGTTATACCGGTGATTGATTTCTTTCATTGTTTTTCAACACACTATGTGATGTGATTCGAAAATAATTATTATTTAATGTTGTGTAATTTGTCTTGTCTTTTTATTAAATAAATGAATGCACAATAAAAATAAAATAAAATTTCAAAAATTTAAAACACGTGATATTGAAGTAATATATATAAGAGATCATCAAGAACGATTTTATTATTCTTAGTGTATATCATTCAAGAAATTTTTTGTCAATAAAATATGATAGAAATCTAAGATAAATAAGCCATTTTTTAAATATTTTCTAGCGATTTGACATGATAGTGAAAAAAATTTTGTTTTAGATGCTTCTATTTGTTATGTCAAAAGGACATTTTCTGCTGAATTTTCAGTTCTCATACCCACATTAAAATGAAAAGTGTACTTAATAAGGTCATGTATATATAGAAATAAAGTACATACTTATCAATCTTATAATGTCGTTTTAAGATGTATTTATTATCTATAGCATTTTTCAAAACTTCGTGCAAAATCTTCATATTATGTATAGAATTCGTTTCACGAATAACAACAATAACTATAATTTGTATTGCGTTCATTTTCTAATAAAAGTGACATCTATGAATCATTCTTTGTATATATCAATTTCGCGCTTTTATCTTTTATTATGTATAACTGTCGTCGACGATGATTAATCTTTGGAAACATTCCTCTACAATTATATTGATCTCTTTTTATAGATATTGTTAAATCTGAAATTAATGAAATAAAACTAAGAATGACTGAAAGGTCACAATCATTTAATAGTTCGGAAAAGCATGTTCAAGTCATAGCACGACCGCGGTTTGTTTTAATTAGAATAAAACTTTTCTTTTTTATCTCACAACAAATATTTTCTTAGTCCATTAAGTGATAATGAAAAATCTCAAAATTTAACTAGTTGTTTAAATGTAAATGAAACACGTAGAGAAATAATTGTTAATTGTAAAACAAGTACTACACGATTTTTTAATTATGATCATGTAAAAATCTTCATTCTTTTCACACAAAACATCAATATTGTATTATTATTATTAAGGTCTTTGGTTGTCAAACACGTCAACAAGATGTTTATAAAACAGTTGTTGCACCTATTGTCGATGAAGTACTTAAAGGTTATAGTTCAACGATTTTTGCGTATGTAAATTTTATTTTATTATTGGCAATAACCGTTTTTTTTCTCTTTATAGATATGGTCAAACAGGATCCGGGTAAATTTATTTTTCGATGAATTGTCTCTTATAAATCTTTATCAATTTTAGTAAAACACATACAATGTTAGGAAAATTTTCAATAGATAAATTATCAAAAGATACTGTCACTGCTTACATGTCAATACTTGAATCAGAAGCGGGTATTATGCCAAGAGCTATACATCATATATTTCAAGGACTTCAACGTCAAGTATAAATAATATTTTGTTTATTAACCGACAGATTTTTATTCTTATTTTTAGTATATTGATTATACAGTTAAAATAACTTATCTAGAATTATATAATGAAGAATTAACTGATTTATTAGCTGATACAACAAATGAACAACCTGAAAAGATTAAAATTTATGAGGATAAAGATAAAGTAAATTTTTCTTTGTCGAAAAATTGATTTTTCTACTTAAATTTATAGACAAATACAATAATTGGAGCGATTGAAGCAACATGTGAAACACCATTTGATGCTATTAAAGTATTAATTAAAGGTTCACAACGTCGGCAAACAGCAGAAACATTGATGAACGCATCTTCAAGGTTATTTTATTATTTTAATCTAACGAACTATTTTTTCATAATATTATTTTAGTCGTTCTCATTCAATATTTACTATGAATGTCACAATGAAAGATGCTCAAGGAGATATGAGATTAGGAAAAATACATCTAGTTTGTTTTACTTTATTTTTCGAATTAATATGATTGAAGAATTTTATTTGATAAAAGGTTGATTTGGCTGGTTCAGAAAATATATCTCGTTCAGGTGCAACTGATAAACGTGCTCGTGAAGCTGGTACAATAAATCAAAGTTTATTAACCCTTGGACGTGTTATAACAGCATTAATTTCAAATGAAAAACATATTTGTTATCGGTAAAATGAAAACAAAGAAAAAACTTCTAGTGTTCTCTATATTTTATTTATTTAGTGATTCGAAATTAACAAGAATATTACAAGATTCACTTTGTGGAAAAACAATAACTTCAATTATTATAACACTTTCACCAGCAAATGAAGCCGTAAGTTAAAATTTATTTGATTTTTCAAAATAATAAATATTTAAACAAAATAAATTATAGGAAACTCTAAGTACACTTGAGTATGGTCATCGAGCACGTTCATTAAAAATTCGTCCTGAAATTAATCAATTATCATCCAAAGATCTTGTTCGAGTGTGTAATTCAAATATTTTATTTTGTTTTCAAAGAATATCTTTGCAATAGGAATATGTCGATGAAATTCGTCGTTTACGTCAAGAACTTGATATAAAACGAGAAGCGGATGGTATACCTTATTCACAATATACGTAAGATTATATGGAATTTTTATTTCAAAAAAAAACAAAATAATTCGTTTTAGAGCATTAAAAAATCAAATGCTATTAGTCCAAACATTATCAGATAATAATCAAACTAAATTAGATAATAATGAACAACAAATTGAACAAGTAAATAGTTTTTATTTACTTATTAAAAATCCTTCTTTTCTTTAGTATCGAACAGACATTGAATCACTTCGTCGACAATTAATAACACAACAACAAGTAAGAAAAATTATGTTTAATATATAGCTAAAAGAATTTTCGAATTTATATAGGAATGTCGACTGGATATAAATGAACGAAAAGAAATGTTAGCATTGATTCGACATCGCTATGAAGAACTTATTCAAACGACTAATAAAGCTTTGACTGTAAGATTCGTTATTTTGATTAAGACAGCAAAAAAAACAATATTACTCTTCATTTATATTAGTTTCGTGAACAAGCTGTAAATGCTATACAACAACTTCGTTTGACACGTTCAACGAGTTCATCATTAATCGAACAATATATTAATGATTGCCGAACAGTTGGAGATACTTTACAAGTTAATGTTCAACGAATAAATGATGATATCGGAACAATGCTATCAACATGTAGTCGTTCAGTTGGTAAAAACTTAAAAGTAGATTAACTAACTTGGAGATGACATATTATGTTAGAGTTGTTGATATTTCAAAGAGTTTTCGAAGATAAATATGCAATACTTCTGACGATGTAAATAAAAGTCATCCATCGAAGAGATGTTCATTAAGCTTAAGTCTTTTACAATACTATGCTTTCTTGCATTTAATCAACAAAGTTTATAATATCTGAAAATCTTGTTTAACTTTGTACAAGAATTATTAATCTTCGAGAAAAAAATAATTTAAAATTTTCTTTCAAGGACAAATATTATCCATCACAACAAATATCAGTCAACAAATGTATATACTTAATGAAAAAGTTCGAGGTGTATTATCACTTGCCTTTCAAAATTTTCATACAATATTTGAAGAATTAAATACGATTTATAACCAATTTCAAGTAAATTTATTTATGAAGTTTGTTTGTTTTTTTTACTTTTTCAATTTGTATTTTATAAGACTGAACTTGATCATGAATTACGAGTATTAATTGATATGTTAGCTGTGGAAATTAAAAACGATGAAAATCAATGTGAAAAAAATATAGAAGAAGAAATATTAATTAAAATCAAAACTTGCTTTCAAGAAATGGTTTGTAAAATTTTTCAAAAAATATAATTCAAATTTATTCTTTTGTTTATAGTCAACCTCATTTAATCCATCAACACAATCATTATGGGATGATTTACATACATTTTTCACACAACGTTTTAGTCAAGTGGTAAATATCTATACATGTTTGTATATTTAATTTCATATTTTTTTTTTGATTTTAGTTAAAAAATGATTTTAAGGTGAATTTTCTTATTTAGTCCAGAAGAAATTATATATATGTATATATTCATTGTGAATTTAGCCTTTAATTCAAATACCAGAAAAATCAACCGATGATGATCATCAAGCACTTGATCTAACTACTATCCGAGATAAATGGCTTAATGAACAAGCGAAACTAATCCTTTCTACTCATAGCGAACTTGAACAATTGGTAAAAAAATTTTCTTTTAAAAAGATCACTTGACTATATATATTAAAAAGCTAATAGGGTAAATTATTTTCCTTTAGATATCTCCTCCAAAATTTGTATACATACATTTTTCTATTCCTTTATACTATCGTTTTTTAATATACATATTGTTATAATATTACTTTTAATATATTCAAAATGTAGATTTCCATTTAATTTAACAGCTAGAACATCTCTGTTGATTCCTATTATAAATAAATTTCGTTAACACCTTGTCTTATTTTTTATTTAATGAATCATTATTATTTGTAGGTGACTCATTTTATTCAATCTTTAACTAATATGAATAATACATCTGAACATGAAAAAACCAATCTACAAAATACTACTCTACTTACAGTATTTTAAACTTTTTTTATTCTATAATAAACTATTATTGATCTTTTAATTTAATAGCGTATTCATGATATATCTACTCAACATGGACATCAAATTCGTCAATTGTTAGAAACAAAATTACAATGTGTATTTAGTCAAGTCCGAGATGAATATGAACAACAATGTAGTCATTTAATAACAAATATTGAATGTGATATAAATCAAATGAATTTAATATTACAAGATATTAATAATAAATTTGATACATCGCCCGTAGCAATAAACGATTCAATGTCACTTCTTATCAAACAATCACAACGTATTGATGTTATGACAAAAAACCTTGATTACGATTGGCAAATGTTTACACAGTCAGGTACTTGAAATATTTTCAAAATATTATTTAAAAAAATATTTGATATTTTGTATCCAATTTTAAAATAAATATATGTATATATACTTGTAACAAATGAATTGTTCTTTCTTATCTAGTTGATAAATTTGAATGTGAAGCAATATTACCATCTCCACCTATGGCTATACCAAAAACTGATGCTGCCGTTAAGCTCGAAATTGGTATTAAAGAACCACAATCACGATTAATGGCAGTTGAAAATAAAGAAAATATTATTGATGGAAATCTTCTACCAGCACCTATTCCTGTTCCGTCGTCAAGATCAGCAGCATTGCCTAGCATACCATGTCGGCTTAAAAATGATGTAAGCTTATTTAATATTTAATAAATCTTTCATTCTATTTTTGTATTATTTCTAGACACCATTCTTTTGATTAATATTTTGTTGTCTATAATTCTCAATGTTAAAATTAAGTCAGATATTTCTTAATAAAAATATTTTTTCATGTTTAACAAATATACAAAGTCTATATTTATGTGTTGAAACAATGACTCTCTTAGAAAAAAACTGTAAGTCATGTGTAGACTATGCAAACAAACAAACATTTAACAAGGAAGAAAAATATATGTCAGGTTTTTTTTCTATGAGTTTATCGTATGAATTTCATTCTAGATGAATATGCTGTAAGAAAAGAGAGTTTTTCTATGAATTTATTTATCTTAGATATCTTTTTAAATTACTCATACATATCATATTTAAGGTAACGAATAATCACATTTTTTTTAGTTATTATTCGAGAAAAACATTGGTGTAATCTCAACCTAAATATTAAATTTTTGTTGCATACGATCAAATCAGCTCCATTTCTATTCTTATTTATGTCAAGTGAGCACGACATGACGACAATAGCGACATCTGTCTAGTTACCTTATTTTTCCTTTTATTTTAAAAATAATCAATTATATTTTTACCGATTAAATTTGTATATTATTTTACTTTTCTGTTGTTTGTTATAGTTATTATTTTATCGACCAATTAAGAATATATTGATAGAAGAGAGAGCGACGTGTATGAATGAATGAAGAAAAACGAGTGAATCATCGTTGACATTAGTCAGCTATATTATTTTATTATTCGTTTGATACAAGTGTGATAAGAATAATATCAATTATCATCATTTTTGTAGATAGATATGACTGAAAAATTTTTGTTTTTCGAGAATAATTGATCAATAATCGTTTTTGTTAATATTATCTTAAATTTATAGTATATAAATGAGCGCTTTAGTGCAGCATAATAATACGCCGCACTACCCGCAAACAATAATGAATAGTGGTGACAGTGGAGCCCGACAACAACGTCCAACTCATAATCCATCGAAAAATTTAGAATCACATGAATTACAATGTTTATTTGAGATACTTGGACATAATCGTGTGGTAAGAAGAAAAGAAAAGAAAAAAAAATTTGATTTGTTTGTATAAATACAATTTTCTTAGACTTTAGCAACAGCTGTTGCTCAAGTTTTACATGGATATAATGGTACCTGGAGAAAGCAAGCATGTGGAGTTTTTTGTTTCGTAAAAGATTATGATAATCGAAGTTATTGTTTTCGATTATATGATCTTAAAGTAAATATTTTCTAATAGACAAAATATTAGATTTTTACTTTTTGTTTTAATTAAAGTCAAGACAAGCAATCTATGAAGAAGTAGTACCTGCAGTACTTCGTCTTGAAAAAGCAATGGATGTTTTTTATACATTCGATGGATCGGTTCGTTTGATTGTTACTTATTTTTTACTATTTCATTTATTTAATTTAATAGAATTGTAAAATTGGAATCAATTTTGTTGATCGTGATGAAGCACAAACATTTTCTCATCATTTTCATTCGAAACAAGAAGATCGACAAAGTAAAAAAGGTTTTCAAGAGACTATTTTATTTTTGTATTAGTTTTACTTCAAAAAAAATAATCGACAGAGCATTCCATTGAGATTGAATTTTAATAGAAGAGTATAATTTCTTTTCTAGTGAATTCTTAGCAAGGAATTCATATTAAAGTATTTCTTAACATACTTTAAAAGCACGTGCTATGTCCATTGACAAAAATATATTCTTTATCTTTACTATTTATCTTCAGTCCCTAGATGATGACAAATATTTTCACTCATGATGAATGGAAAGGGCGTCGTATAATATACATCAATCACATGTATTTCTAAAGGTTACATATGATATTTTCACATATGAACTATGTAAAAAAATATATCAATTAATAAATATTTCGTTAGATAAGAATAAAATCTAGTTCCTAATGAATTCAAACAGTTTTTGAACATTTCTTCAGGACATCTGTGATTGTTTACCATTGTATATAAATCTGTTGTTCACTAATCTTTTAATCTTTTGTTATGACTTCGTCCTATTATTTTGTTTCATACAATAACTAAAATAATTGAACTCCATGCGGAACTCGAACCTCCAAGTTTCGTTTATGCTTAGATATTATAAAAATTGGTTTTTGGTTAAAAATTCTTGTTGACTGATAGATTAGGAGTTTCAATGTAAGAACATTATAATAAAAAAAATCTGTCAATCATCAATAATAGTAATTGTAAACAACTTTTTTTTAAATAATAGAAAAGAAGAAAACAAATCCAACAGCAAAACTAGCACCACCAAACATTCAACCACCTGTTTCATCACCGGGTGTATCAACTATGATGAATGGAACAAAACCACCAACTAACGCTATAGTACAAACACATACACCAGTAGTATCCGTCCCTGTTAGTACTGCAAAAAGTAAACAAAAAAAATCATCCTTTTTCTTAAGTACTTTATTAATATTGTATTATTATTTGTAATAGAACCGAATATCGCAAAAAGAGAAGGTTTTCTAACACTTCGAAAAAAGAAAAAAGAAGAGCGACCAACTATATCTGCACCAATTCAATCTACGTATGTTTAATAAAAAATTTTCTTTCTTGTTAAATAATTAATAAATCTATTTTCTTAGATTGGTTCATGTTGGTCATATTGGTACAAAAGATGTATGTTTTTTTTTAATTTTTAATTATTCTATTATATTGGATTTGATCTGTTTTTTTTGTATTATATAGAGTTTTTTTAATGATGACTCTCAAAAACAATTATTCGAAGATGTATTATCTAGTCTGGGTATATCCGCAGAAGATAAATTGTACGTTCGAGAAATAATAAATACAGATGGTGGTTTGCAAAAACTTTTAGCTAGTCAGTATCATATATTTTATTTGTTTATACAAAGAAAAAAATCTTGATTATTTTTCTAGAACCAGGAGCATCTGTACGTGATACTAATAATCAAGGACAACAACAAATGATCAGTGGTGCACCGGAAATTCCACCACGTAGTTATCCAACAATAGGTCGAGGTAATGCTGGCCGAGCTCCACATCAAGATATATCTACACCATCGTCTACTCATAATCAACCAAATTCAAATCGTTCTCAACCATTGCAAGGAATATTTACTCCACCGCCTAGCCAAACTCAACAACCAGCACCATCGATTCCACCAAGACCAGGTCCTCGTGCACCTGATAATACATATCCACAGACACAAGCACCACCAGCTCCACCACCACCACCTCCACCACCACCATTCTTTGGCGCATCGTAAGTGTATTACATCTTTTAATAATTATCAAGAAGTTATTGTTCTATTAATCATATAGTAGTAATGATCAAAATCGTGTACATGCTCCACCTGCACCACCGCCGCCGCCACCTCCTCCACCACCACCAGCACCTCCAATGCCGTCTAACATTATGAACCCAATTCAAGGTTCTGGAGGACCTCCTCCACCTCCACCGCCTCCTCCACCAGCTCCAGTACTTCCATCGGGCCCAGTAACACATCCAGTATCCGTACCAGTTGTAACTCCGGCACGTGGTAATTTACTTGATGACATTCGTAATATTGGCACATCCAGATTGAAAGTACGTTATATGACGCGTTTTTAAATTATTATTATTATTATTATGTTTTTTAATTTTTAGCAACGAACTGAGAGACCACCATTACCTGAGGTTACATCCGTAGGTGACTCAAGTCCCGGACCACAAGATACAATGGCATTGAATATTCTAAAAATTCTTGCCGAAAGACGAGAAAAAATTGGTAAATATTTAAAAAACGTTTTATACTATAAATATATATGGGATTATTTTTTTTCTCACTTTTAGTCGGACCAGATGCTGAAGATGATGATGATACAAGCGATGGTGAATGGTCTAATTGATCAAAATTACTTCTTCTTTTTCTAAGCACATTGAATCATTCCACACAATCCAATCTATATTCATTGATTTTTTTTCTTTTTCTAAAATACCTCGAAAATCTTTCTTTTACTTGTTTGTTTGTTTGTTGATCTGTTTTCTTCTAAATAACGATGATACTTTTTTTTACTATGCAAATTGATTAGAAAAACAAAAAACTATAAAGTAGTTGTCCTTGTATTCGTGCTATTTTCATTCATTACTTATTATATGCTTGTATGTACATTCATTTAATGCTTGTTCGGTTTTTTTTTTTGCTTTTTCATATGATTCGAACTCTTGTTTTTGTTCTTATTCTTCGATTCATGTCACATACACACACACACTCACATATATACGTGCGCGATTTGTCTTTGTTTTTTATGATGGTGCAAAAATAAAGAACAGTGAATCCCTATCCAAATGTCTTCAGTTTTCTTTGATTTGTGTAGTTATTTATTTCGCCAAGAAATTTTTATTGAATATCTATTAGTATCGCTCGATTTTTCTTTTTGTAAATCTATTATATCTTCAGTTCGTTGTTTATCAAACAGAATGAAGTAGAATTACACCTACATTATAATATTGTGTAATAGTCCTTTAGTATTCAACAGTGCAGATGATTAAGTAATAGAAATCTTGAAAATATTTTTATTCTGTTCAATCATAGATTAAAATGTAATTAAAATAGTGAGAATCTATTAAGTTCGTTGTCCCTTTAATCCATATGTCCTTTTGAGTAAAGTATCAACAATACTTAATACTTGTGTAAATTTCATTTACAATACAATTAGGAAGGTCATGTATTAGATCTAACCTCATATTATAATTACTATTAAATCGATCCTTTAATTAAATAGTTCATTGTGCGATAACATATCATGTTTGAATTATTTTCTATAGATAATTAGAGGATATTAAGGAATATTTTTACAAGAAGATTTATATCTTAAGGACATTTTCCTCAAGGATTCGTTTTTTTCAAGGACTACAAGTTGGCGACAGTTTTCTAAGGACATATTCGATTGTATTTAATAAAGCTACTGAATGTACAATAGAGTTCAAGTATACTTAATGGTGTGTAATTCATATTAAGATATATGAGAAACAAAACACTTTAACGTGTAAACAGACATATTCTATGTTACTTAAAACAAAGCAAATTCGTTTTACAAATAATCGCGTATCTATTCAACGAAAAGATCTATAGAACAAGTATTCTAGCCATCATCGAGAAATTTTTCTGAGATTAGAAGCAAATAACAAAAAATATTTCGTTTTTTTACAAGTTTACCTTGTTATACTTTTAAAAATTCACCAAATAAAATCGATTAGTATAAAATGTATTCATACTTTTTGTATACATAGAAATATTCAAAACGTATTTTACTAGAAAGACAAACATAGATTAATATTTTCTTTTTTGTTGTATTAAAGAGTTTTTAATAATTTTTTCATTGTTTCACTTATAGCAAATCCATCAAGTTTTCGCAGTAAAGAATCAAAATCACATTTTTCTAATGGATCTTTTCCTAATTCGTAATCTTCAACATCACTAGAAGGATTCAATGAATCATATACAATACGTTCACATACAGCTAATATTCCACCGAATGTTTCAAATGAAAATTGGTGTTGTTGATTTTCAATATCAAGTAATTGAAGTAAATAATCATATTGTGCGCGTGTAAAATTTTCTGTATGTATATCGGTAATTGCGGAATGTAAATTAGTTATATCCAAACAATATTTATTATTACGATATTTATCAAATATACGTTTAAATTGATAATTTCGACGTAATGATAAACGACAATATTTACTAATATATTCGATTGGATTTAGATTTTCAAGTTTTTTTAAATCAGATGGTAATTCAAAACGACAACCCTAGAGGAAAAAGAAAGAACGAGTGAATAAGTTTTAGTTTTAATTTTTAAATATTAATACAAACTTGTTTTGATACTGACATTGTACCGATGGATGATCCTATTTCACTACGTTTTATTTTTTCTAATAGTTCAACAGTTTCAGGATTAGGTTCGATTACTTTTTCACTTTGATTTCTAGTTTTATCTAAATGTGATCTTGGTTTTCGTGAGTAATTACGATGACTACCTAGTGGTTTTAATTCAACATGAATTGGAGTATATGAAAATTCCGGTGAATCAAATGCGCCTTTTCGTATACGTTTAGGAACATCTTCAATTAATTCGACTTGTACTTGATTTTCTGGTATAATAGTTGGAATAGGAGGAACAGGAACAGGAGCAGCAGTTTCATCTTTCTTTTTCTCTACTATTGGTTCTTTTTGTTCATTTGCTACAGTTGTTATCATTTGTGTTTTAACAGTATCTTTATTTTCTTTAGTATCATCTTTAAATTTAACTGATGGACGAGAAACTACTGGAGGAGTTTTCTTTATTTGTAAATTAGTAGGCGCAGTAGTAGTTGTTGTAGTTGGTGTTGCTGATGGTTTACGACGTTTAGTTTTTGTTGGTAACGGTTGTTCAGGTGTATTATTAGCATAATTTTGTACAGTAATCGCTGTTGTAAGTGAGTCATTATCATTAAATTCTTCAGTTGGTGCTTCTGCTTTCGTTTCCATTGGTAAAGCAACAACAATCGTATGTTTTTTCTTTGCTGTTTTTGGTCGTTTCGTACTTATTTTACTATTACTATTATTTGTTTGTTGAGATAAACGACGTTCTACATTAATTATTGGTGTTTTATTTGTATAATCTTGTACTTGTCCTATAAAAATTAGAAATAAAATAGTAAAGATTAAATAATAGTTTACTTGGTTGTTGTGTACTGAAATCGTTTAATAAACCATCTCGTACTGCATCATTGTAGCCCATTTGTGGAGTTGTTGTAGGTGTATTTATAATACGTGATGTTATGCTTACTCGAATAGGTTGTGGATTAATTGGCATTAAATCATCTTCTTCTTTTATATCTTGACTTACTGAAGATTTTAGTTCATCTAATACAGGTCGTGTCTGTTGTTGTTCCTTTTCTTCTTTTACTTCTTTTACTTCTTTTCGAATTTCATCTATTTTCACATTATCATCAATTTTTACCGCTACAGGTTTATTTAAAGATTGCTCATTATTATTATTTGTTACCATTACAACTTCATTTAATAATCCAACATCATCATTAGTTTTTATTACCGGCGATTGATTGACTGGTGGATTGTTATTAATATGTGTTGTTATTTGAACTTTATTTGCTGATTCGTCATTATAATTATTAATTGTTGGTATTTGCGGTTTACTTATTAATTGATCATCATTGTTGTTTGTTGTTATTTCAGGTTTACTTACTAATTCATCATCACTATTATTATTAGTTGTTATCATTTGAGGTATACTTATTAATTGATCATTATCATTATTATCTGCTGCTGGTGTATGAAATTTATTTGATGATCGTTCATCACGATTATTATTAGTTGTTATTATTTGAGGTTTACTGATTACTTGATCATCATGATTATCTGCTGGTGTATGAAATTTATTTGCCGATCGCTCATCACGATTATATCTTAATCTTTGAGATTGACTTGATGGTCGATTAGTATCAATATTTGATGGTATTGAAAATTTAGTTAATGATCTTTCATTATAATTCGATCTTATTGTTTGAGATTTACTTGATGGTCTTTCGTTATGTTTGTGAAAATAATCTTCGGTAAAAGAAACAAATGGTTGACTATGACTTATAAAACTTGCCGATCGAAATGAATTATCTTGACGTGATTTTCCGCCACGATACGTATTTATATTCATTCGATATTTTGTTGATGATGATGGACGATGACTTTTTTGATAACGATGAAATGGTGTAAATAGTGGAGGATCAAGTGGTGTTGCTGGTACATGTAAAAGTTGACGACTAGGAAATTGTTCATAAGATGGACCAGCTGTTCTTGGTCGTTTATCTTGTTCATGAAGATGTTTATGTGTTGATTTAATATTAATAAATTTCCCAAAACATTGTCTATAAGAATGAAATGATTGATCAATAGATTGATCTTGTTTTGTTGCCATACGGTCTATGAATGTTTGTAATGAACGAAGACTTTCTTGACGTAAAACAAAATCTTGTCGTTTTTTTAATGTCTCAAATGCTGTATAACTTTGAACATATGTTTGTCGTTGTCGATGTCGATCATGTAATAATAATTGAGTAAAACCATCATGATCTTTATCTGATGCTAATGGTGGTGGAAGTGGTGTTTGTGGTAAAAGCATCAATGGTGTATCATTAAAATCATCGGGTGATGAGAAATTCTGCGTTATTATTGTAATTTTAGTCATTTTATTGATTAATATTTAATAAAGTAAAAAAAAAGGAAGAAATTGAATTGCTTGAAAAATCGTAGTCGTAGTAATGCTGTATGAATTGGCAGTAAACTGTCAATTCGATGTAGTCTGAAATAGGCAGGCAATCATTAACAAAAAAAACAATACTTGATCAATTTTGTTGCTCTGTCTTTCACTTTTTTTTTTCTATCAAACATTATACACCATCCACTTTTTTTAATTTCATCACGAACAAGAATAATAAGAGGGAGAGAGAGAAGAAAAATTTGTTTGAAAAAGAAAAACAGTTTTGCTTTCTTATTAAACGTTGTTCAGTTTACCTTGGAATAACATTGACTTTTTTACAAAAATATAGTCTTTTTTTTTCATTCTCTTTTTTCTTTTTTGAATACTTCATTTTCTATCGATATTTTTAGATGACACATGATAATACATCCATGTCATTAAGTACACAAGATAATATGAATAATGATCCAACACTTCAATATTTTACAGCTATTCGACAACAAGAACCCGAGTATGAACATATGACCTACTTTAAAAAGATTCGTATGAGATAAATAAATTGATATATAGGACAGGTAGAAGTCATAATATTTACAAATGACAATCTCGACCAAAGAAATTCAATAAATATTTAACTAGGTGTTATATTTACCTTTATATAATTTGTAGGCAGTTATTTTTATTCTGTAATGATTTTTGAAATAACATTTCAAATAAAATTATTGTCATGGATTCGAGTTTTATCGAATGAAATCCGTCAAAAAAAATAATAAATCAATTTTTAATAGTTATTGAGATTTATATTTTTACAAATTTTTGTTTTTTTATTTTTAATAGTACATCAGTCGCTATAACAGCTATTCGTACATTACTTGATGTTATCAAACGTTCATCAGCTGGTACTATGAGTGAATTGTCACATGAACTCAAATCAGCTGTACAATTATTAACAACTGGAACAGATTCATCAATGCCAAGTGTTAAATCAGGCTGTGAATTATTTTTACGTTTTATAACCTTAGCAAAATTTGATACATATGCTATTGATGAATGTCGACAAAAATTAATTGAACGTGGTGAAGTATTTTTAGAACGAACATTATCATCACGACAACGTATTTCGGAATATAGTCAAGAATTTATTGTTGATGGAAGTATTATTTTAACACATTCATATTCACGTGTTGTTCTTAATTTACTTGCATATGCATCAAAATTTGCACGTTTTAGAGTATTTGTTACTGAATCGGAACCGGATAAAAGTGGTTTACAAATGAGAGATGAATTAGAAGCAATTGGTATACCATCAATATGTATATTAGATGCAAGTGTTGCTTATGTTATGGAAAAAGTTACATTTGTTTTAATGGGTGCTGAAGCTGTTGTTGAAAGTGGAGGAGTTATTAATAAAATTGGCACATTTAATATTGCAATTGCAGCACATGAAATGAATAAACCATTTTATGTTGCATCCGAATCATTTAAATTTGTTCGTTATTATCCATTAAATAATCGTGATTTACCTGATCATTTTAAATTTAAAGCATCAACAATAGCACGTTTAAGTGAACAAAATTTGGAAATGGAACATCCACTTGTTGATTATACACCACCGGCTTATATTACATTATTATTTACAGATATTGGAACATTAACACCATCAGCAGTTAGTGATGAATTAATTAAACTTTATATATAATAGAGATAAAATTTTCCAGGTAGTCATAATATGATCTGATTTTTTTTTGGATAGGATAAGAATGATACTTTTTTTGTTGCAATAAAAAGAAAAAATCTACGTTGAAAAAAAAACATCGATTTATACATTTTTTGATATTGAAAAAATCACGAGAATATTAGCCTAGTCATTCATAGTCGGTCAAATTATCAAATAAAATGTATAATATTGATATTTTTCAACGTAGAGATTTTCATTTACATCTTATATGTTTTTATGAATGAAATATATTCTACACTATATCTACAGATTGTTTTATTTTGATTATATCAGAAATATGAAGACAAAAAATATCAAAATTCTGACAAAATACTTTCTACACGATCATAAATTGAATGACCTCGATCAACAAGAGCATTCAATCGTTCGATAACTTGTCTAATTGATTGTTGCGTTAAGATTTGTTCAGTTCGATCATTATCATCATCTAATAAAGAAGATGATTCCCGAATAAGTAAACGAGTATTTTCTTGTTCTTGACTAACGACAGTTGATAATGAGCGAACAATATCATCTAAATTTGAATGACCAGTCGATAAGTAATTAATTTTCTCAGTTAATGATTGCTGCTGTTGTTGTTGTTGTTCGTTATCAAAAACTTCCATGATACTATCAGATTTTGATATAATCGCTCGATCAAGTTCGCGTAAAGCTAAAAAAGTTTCAATATAAATATCGATAAGCATCTATAGATATATATCTTTTTTTCTTACCTTTTTCAATATTTGCACGAATTGATAATAGATTTGGTTTTGAACTAGTAGAAGTAATAGTTGATTGTTGATGTTTTGGACTAATTGATGACGATGATGGTTGAATTTGTTGCTGTTGTTGTTGTTGCTGCTGCTGCTGTTTATAAACATTTCTTGTATGAATAGTATCAGATATTTCATCACTATCATTTAACATATTTGAATTATCTGATTGTTGATGGTGATGATTACTAATATCATCATCATCGTCGTCGTCATCATCTTCACCATCATCCATGCGATTAATTCTTTGTATAACAGACATTGATTCAGTTTCTGGTGAGATATGACGAGCTGATGAACGATAATAAGATTTATGGCGATCTTTACATCGTGAACTTCTTGCTTTAGTTGATCTCCTAAAATTTTATTATTATTAATATATCAAATTAAAATTTATCTTACCGCGTTCGATGAAAATAATCAGAAATACGTCGATAAGCTTTACGTTCATCTAGTAATTTATAAATTTTTTTAATTGATAATGGTATATTTGATTCTCGTCTAATATGTTCACTGTATTTTCTGTAATCACTCGCTAAAAAAACAGAACAACATAGAAATATTTTTGAGTAAAATAATAAACAATTTACCGTAAATTTCTCGCAATTGAAATAATAATTCTTTTTCATCATCTTGTATCCGATTAATTTTATTGGTCGTATGACCGTTTGTTATATGAGCCATTGAGAATTGTCACCTATATCACGTCAATAAGAGTATAATGATATATGTACGAATATCTTACATATATATATATATATATGTTATAGGCAAATTCGGAATCTGCCTAGCCAAATTGGAATATTCTAATTAGGCTAGGCAAATTATAAATCTGACTGAAAATTTTTACTAGACAAAATCAGAATTCTAATTTTGCCTATAACATATACATATATGTACGTGTATATTAGATTTTTGGAAAAGAGAAATGAAGAATGACGATATAACCGACGAACCGAAGTTGCTGTGACGACGCGTTCGTCCGTTTACGCTTTGGTACTTTATATTTGCTTGCTTGTTTGTTGTTTTCTTTCTTCTCAGTCGACAATGTTAATGAAGACGAATGACGCAAGGCGGCAGTTGCATTTATTTGTTCGTTATATATTATTCATTTCTAGTTATCATACAGTAGAAGGTGAATTTTTACACATGATATATATGCGAGTAATAATAGGTTTCTTTACGTCAATTGAAACACAACAGAAGAGTAGTTATGTCTAGAAGAAATGATCAACAGATAAAAAAAAAGAAAAGAAAAGACAATATATTAAAAGTCAAGAGAAATTCTTCTATTGTCAAAATTATCTACACCATCGTGAATTTTAACTAGTTTTTAAACTACAAATATTTCTTTTATTCTTTTCGAGTATGATACTTGACATATAATGTATATTATTATTCTATCTATCATATACATATGTCTAGCGTATGATTAGTACATTTGTAAGAAGACACATATATTGATTGTAAAAGAAAAAACTTGAACTATTGATATAGTAGGCCATAATGTTTACCTTATATTACAACGCGGTCTACATTTATGTCACGCACTTTTACTTTCTTATTGAATTCACATTGGTCTTTTTGTCGTATCGGTTATCATATATATGTGTCGCTATATATATATATTTTTGACATGTATTGCTTCGATATATTTACAAATAATTACTTTTTTCTTTAAATATGAATATATGCATAGAACTGATTTCTCATGAGAAACTACTCATAAAATGTTGATTTTATAAGTGTTGATGTAACTATTTATCATATAATTTATTTTGAATATATATTTGTGTAGATCAAATCTCTGTGCAAAAAAAAGTATTTTTTATATTTTAGATAAATTATGTTTGTACTATCTTTAGTTTATTTATTGATATTTTTTATATTTAATGTTGAAACATTTTTACATTTTAATAATAATACATATGTTGAGCAATTATCATCAAATTATTTTTATTCATCTATTAAACCAAAACCTGTTCCTGAACCTTATCTGATTAGTATAAATGATGAACTGATGAATTTACTTTCATTATCAATGATTGATCGAAAACAAATGGCTGAATTGCTAAGTGGAAATAAACTTTTATCCGGTTCTAAACCTGTTGCAATGATTTATGCTGGTCATCAATTTGGTTATTTTACTTCACAATTAGGTGATGGTCGAGCTATTCTTCTTGGTCAAATCAATCAATGGGCATTTCATGCTAAAGGTACTGGACCAACACAATATTCTCGAGGTGGTGATGGTCGTGCGGTATTACGTTCATCAATACGAGAATATCTTGTATCTGAAGCAATGTTTCATTTAGGTATTGAAACAACACGTGCATTAAGTCTTGTCGGCTCAGTTAATTTACCTGTCTATCGTGAAACAATTGAAACAGCTGCTATTGTCGTACGTGTTGCACCCATTACTGCATTTATACGTATGGGTACATTTGAAATATTTTCTGTTCGTGGTCAATATGAACAAGTTCGACAATTAGCTGATTTTGTTATTAATAATATGTATTATAAACCAAAATTAGATAAATACCGATATAACCACCTATTAATCGATATTGCTCATCGAACAGGAATACTTATTGCCTATTGGCAAGCATTTGGTTTTACACATGGAGTATTAAATACTGATAATATGAATGTAATTGGATCTACAATTGATTATGGACCATTTGGTTTTGTTGAAGATAAAATTGATGGTTATGTACCAAATCACTCCGATGATGAAGGTCGATATGCATTTGATCGGCAACCATCAATAGGTGCTTGGAATCTTGCTAAATTACGTTTAGCATTGAATACATTAATTGATACGACAAAACATGTCAATGAACAAAATGAATTTTGGTTATATTTTAATCTTACATATGATAAATTAATGCGTCAAAAACTTGGTTTAACATTTTATCTTCAATCAGATAAATGGCTTTATGAAGAAATTCTTCGTTTATTAGATTTATATCATATTGATTATACGAAATTTTGGAGAGAACTTGCTGATGATATTATTCCGAATGAAATACAACAGGAATCTTGGTTTAATATATATAAGCAAAGATTAGCTAAAGAAGGTAGTTATGCTAAAAAGATCCGTCGTGAACGAATGAATCGTATTAATCCAAAATATATTCTACGAAGCTATATGGCTCAAATAGCTATTGAAAAAGCACAACAAGGTGATTTTAATGAAATTGATCGACTTCTACATTTACTTCGACGACCCTATGACGAACAACCAGACATGAATGATTATGCAAAAACATCTCCTGAATGGGCTAAAAAACTTATTATTTCATGTTCATCTTAATATGTCAGATATTATTATTTTTTTGTTAATCAATTTATTTATTTATTTTTTTTGTTTGAATGAATTTTTTTACAATTAAACCAGCCTACCTTTGTTTGCAAAAAGAAACGAAGTCTTATTCTATAAAATATTCAATGAGAAACATGTATGCTATGATTAGTTTTAGATTGAATAATTGAAAATGAATTATTCAAACAAAAAAAAAGAACAAGTTGGATGAATAATTATTTCAATATATTCAATTAAATAGATGTTTTCAAAATATTTTCTTATTTATTTGGTAAGAATGACGAAATAGAATATAACCTTATCTATAAGTTCGAAGTACAAGTGATTTTTGAAAGACAATAAAAATCATTTGCACTTTTGACATTTACGAATGACGAATAAAGCTATTATGAAATATTTATGTTCTTCTGTCTACTGAGACATCTTAATAAAAAATAAAGTTTATCGTTATCTTATCAAACTTACTAACCCATAGTATAGGAATAGTGCCGATTTTAAATTGCACTCGTATTATTATCAAAATACAATTAGATCGAATTTACTCGTACATAGTAGGACTGCGGTTAAAAAAATCTTTTCTGTTCTACAATAGTATAGTATAAAACGTGCTCTGGATTGTATTTTTCTTTTTTTTGCTTCACTGTATTATATAAATATTATATATTATAGTGCATGCTATCTGATAAGAATATAGAAGGTAGAGAAGAAGAAAAATAAAACATCAACATAACAATGCAATCACTGTCAACATCGGTTGTTTCTCTGCATAGCTGTGCGGAATCACATAAAAATGACAAGACATCGAAGAAAATATCTGACAAAAAACCTTCAATTGTTTATTTTCTTACATTATTTTATTCATTTTTATCGATGGGATTAGGCGGTGCACTTATTGGACCAACTTTACTTAAATTTGGTGAACAAATAAATTTACCATTTGATCGAATCGTTTATATATTATCTGTACGTTCATTTGGATTTTTTGGTGGTACAATAATTGGTGGATATATTATTGATGCTTTTCCTAAATTCGGTGGTACATTTTTAACATTTGCACTTTTTATTATGTGTATAACAACATTAATTATTCCATTAATGTATTACCTTATTCCTATGATGATTGTACATTTAATGTGGAGTATAGCAGCTGGTATAGTTGATAATCTTGCTCAAATTTTAACTATGCGTCATTATAAAAATTTTAATGTTAATCCATATTTACAAGCACTTCATGGTGCATTTGGTATTGGAGCTCTTCTTTCACCATTAATTATTGCACCATTTCTAAGAAAATCAAGTTCAATTGATCAATGGCATTATGCTTATTGGTTAATTGGATGTTTACATATACCAAATATACTTGGTATTTTAATTTTTGCTATACGTGATGAATGTTGTTTAAAACAAGTTGAAGAAATAAAGTTAGAAAATAAAGAATTTGTTGAAGAAAATAAACAGAAAGAAGCAATTATTAAATCTGATCCTGAAGTAAAAATAAATGAGGGTGTATGTTCAGGAAATGTTATATTTCTTGGTTTAATGACAATATTTCTTCTCTTATATGTTGGTAATGAAACAGCTTATGGATCTTATTTACATACTTATGCTAGTTTACATTTAAAATTTCCCAAAGATATAGCTGCATATCTTAATTCAATATTTTGGACATCATTTACATTTAGTCGTCTTTGTGGTATTCCATTATCAATGAACTTCTCTGCATTACAAATGATAACTTTCGATTTAATTGGATGTGTGATATCACTTACATTAATATTTATGTTCAACAAAGTATCATGGGTGCTATGGGTTGGATCTATTTTCTACGGTCTATCAGTTGGTACACTCTATGCATCAGCAATTGCTTTTACTGAAAAATATATACCTGTAACTGGTAAACGAATGTCGATTTTAGCTGTTGGTGGTTCGGCCGGTGATGCAATAATACCATTACTTATCGGTTATAGTATTAATTCAAAATTTATAGGACCTATAGGTTTTATTTCAATTTTATGCATTGGAACTATTTTAGCGTCACTGTTTTTTGGATTTATTTTTTTATATGTTAGACATATGTCAAAAGAAGATATGTGTGATGATAAAAAAACTTCTGAAGTAAAATAAATGAAAACAATGTTTGTTGTTGTTTAAGAAATAGGTTCAAGAACATGTTTTTCTATGCCATTCTTATCATTGTGATGAAGATGTTCAACATAAACTTCACGACATGGATGTGCATCACCATCAGGACGATTTATTGGAGTCCAAATTGGTTCACCGACAAAGAGACGTCGAGCACGAATAAAATTATGTTTATCGGGTATAAATCGATGATACATTCCTAATAGAGAAAAATCAAAATTTTAAATAGATAAAATATTTATTTTCTGTTACCAGCCGGTAAAATAATTAAATCACCAGCAAAAACATGTATTCTCATCCATTTATCTTCACGATCACGTACATCAAAGAAACCTGAACCTTCCAATATAAGACGAATTTCTTCATCAGAATGTAAATGTTCAGAAAAAAATGTTTTCAATTTTGCTTCATAATTTTCCATGGATGGATCGACTTTAATTTCATCTTCATATGTATATCTATTTACAAATACGATTTCTTTCTAAAATTATTAGTATATTGTAAGACATACCCTCGATCTTTTTTAAGTTTTATTAATGATGGACTTTCATTATCAGGACGAATTTGATCTGGATGAAAATACCATACTTCAACACCTGTACGATCACATAATGTAGTTGTATCAATTTCTTCTAATAAATGATCATCTTGTGGATCTTCCTTTCGATCATCCATATACCAACATTGTACCTATTAACTGATTAATTAATTACAATTCTAAAGAATAAAATAAATCATACCATGATGAATTATTCGTTCTTTTTTTTGCTTTAAATCTAGAATATGAAATACATCAATAATTATTCATTCAATTTATTGAAAATCAAAACAAAAACTAAAAAAAAGAAAAATAATCTATAATTTGGATTTAATTGATTTGGTAGCATTCTCTTCTATTAATTGTCGAATATCTGTAAGACTACGATCAAAATGATTTGAAAATTCTTTAGCATTTGTTCCTTGATTGTTTATTTTGAATGTTGTTACCATATAATTTATTGAATCATTACGTGGATTATAACAACAACCATCTAGAAAATATTTAATTAAAAACAAATATTGACACAACTATTACTTACATCCATCATCAACTGCTGGACCATAAGCCATAACACAATCATGTTTTGCTCCAACCTAAATTTTCAAAATAACGCTTACTCTTCATTTTTAAATAAATCAATTAGCTTTACTTGACTTGTTGAAAGAATAAAGTGCATGGCACGTTTATAGCTGACATGATCATATAAAGCAGGCTTTGGTATATTGTTTTCCATTGCAATTAATTTTAATCCTAATAAATGTCGATCAATACCTTTAGCATTAATTGCCTAAATTTATAATAGAAAGTAAAAAAGAACCGAATATTTGATAGTATTATTTACATCCGTTGTATATTGTCGTTGTGCTTGAAGAGCATTAAGGAATAAATGATATTTTGCAGCATTCGATGTTTCATGATGTTGTTCAGACATAGCAAAAGCAAATTTTAGAGCTTCTAATGTACATGAGCGAATAGTTTCTGTTCGACCAAGATGATAACGACGTAAAGAACCACTTTCATATGTAGCACCACATTTTTTATGCATTCTATACGTTAAACAAAACCATTAGAATCGTTAATAAAATATGCTGATTTTATATACTGAAATACTGACCGAAAATAAGCAACTTGTAATCCGACTTGTATAATTCCATCTAAAATAGAACAGGTTTCATTTATTTAGATTATTTAATTGTATTTACCAATGCTTAATTTATTTTCTTTAGCAAACTGTTTGCCATATCCAGTATATTTATGAACGATTAAATCGCAATTTTCAATCAATCTATAAAATACAGAACTATATTAAATATATAGGATTTATATATTCATACTTATTAACACGTTTTTCACTTTCCCTTATTGATTGTTCCATTTGTTTTGGTATAATTATATTGCATCTCTTTAATAAGGATTCTTGATTAGTTTGAGTAAATGATGGTGCTGATTTACTATAAACAAAAATCAAATATTATAGCTAAGAATTGTATCTATTAACTTAAACTAACCGATGGTCAAGAGCATAATCAGCAAGAGCAGTCATCATTCCACCTTCAGCCAAGGAATGTTCATAGTTAAGACCACTATAACCATCAGGTCCAACGATAACCTTAAAATCAACGTATTTGTTTTTTCTTCAAAACAAAAAGTAATTCATTTTACTTGAAGTGTTTTATCAAACCATCGATTAGCTGTATTATATTTCGTACCACCACCATGTAAACAATTGTAACCAGCTAATGTTTGATTATCTATTTTATTTAATGTTTGATATTGATCATCAATACATAATACAAATAAACTATCATTGATCGTATCAAATAAATCTTTATTCTCCGGAACTAAAAATAAATGAAAATATTTTTTCTTTTAATTCTACAAACATTTTACTTGATGATAATTGTTTATAAATTGGTGCCCAAAGTTGTCGTTCATCAGCTGTTAAATGTCCAATTGATTGTTGATTATCATTTGTTTCCTTTAAATTTTCGAGTTTTTTCAAATGATTATAGATTGCATCAGCTGTTAATTTATTGCCTTGGCTATCATATACTGGTAGTCGATAAACCTAAATAATAATACATAATATGATAATCAATATAAAATTTTGTCAAAATATTTACATTATTACGATAAAATACTGCAATATGACGATGACCAGACTTTTTATACAAATGAAGTCGATCAATATCTTTTTCAGGAATACGACATGTTCCAATTATTTTTTTATATTGATCCATACAAAGGGGATCGGAACCAAAACGATCAATTGGTAATTTATCACTAAAAAATAATAGTCATATATTCGATTCTTTACCAATTAATGAGAGATAATCATGTACTAATTTCTTCTATTCGTTTAGTCTTTCAAATATTATTCTAAGATGCGTCTATTTCTTCAAGAGATAGTATATTCAAATTTTATTTAGTATTCACGATGAAAACCATTTTCATGCAGATCCTTTTAAAAATCCATTACCACTGTTAGTAAAAAGCAGATATAGATACCTTTACCTAAGAACTTTTATAAGATACTATAAATGGTAATATTAAACTATAGAATATGTAATAATAACATTAAATTTATATATTTACTTATCAATTAATTCTCGATAACGTAGAATACCATGTGTAAAATTAGCTGCAAATTGTAATTGTCCATCAAAATCTCTGTATGATTGTCGTGGAAATATTAAACCAGGATTGTAAATGATTGGTAAATTTAAACGCCACTCAAGATAAGTTTTATCTAGCCACCATTGTGATAACTATTTTTGCACATGAAATAGGTTATTACATTTTAAAATATTTTCTTACCCAATTTTCTTCTGTTTGCGCTCGTTTTAATAATAATTCTTGTAATGGTTTACTTTCATGTTGAAATTGTTCAACAATCTAAATAAAAGTAATATTATTTAGTAAAAAAATAATGAATTTTATAATTAATAAACTTTTTTTGTTTCATTAAATTCATCATTATTCAATAATGGTGCAACTGTCTTTAAATATTTTTGTGATGTTTCAGCTAATGTTGGTACTGGTAATCTAATTAAAAATAGTCGAGAAAATAAAATAAAAAAATATGTAAAACTTTTTATTATCTAACTTAGGCAAATCAGATTGCTGAGAAGTTTGTGTGGATATCATGTGCGCGTTTCTTTGTACTGTGATTGCCAACGAACGAACAGAACGAAATGTCGACAAACATGGCTTTTGATAAAGTTTAAAGGGCACCTGTATGCTGACATGTTATATCAATTTTAAGAAGTAAAAAAAAAGAAAATTTACATTTCTATTGATCAACAATATAGAATAGCTTTGACGAAAAGCTAAACTCATTCTCGTAATCTAAAGAAATACACAAACAAAACAATAAATTTCACAATATATAAATAAAACATATAATTTAATCATTGTACATAACGAAAACAAAAAATCAAATTTTTTTATTAGTCTGTGATATATCTTTGGTATTTTTTAATGCAAATGATAAACATAATTGTCGATCTCGTAAATCTGACCATCCTCCATTGGTTTGTTTAACTGCTCGTTTAGCTTCGTATTTTAAATGTACTGATAAAGGTTTTGTTGGAAATAAATATTTTTGATTATTAGTATAGAATTTATCAGTTTCTTGCCATCGAGCAATATCAGATTCACTTGAACATGTTTTTTTATGATGAGTACCACTAAAATAAGAAATTATTTTTTCAAAAAAATTAAAATCTATTTCTTTTACCATGAACCAAGATGAATAAGTCGTGTAGCACTTGACCACATAACACGAGGATAGTTTAAACGTTGTTGTACTAAATAAACAAGCGACCAATCCCAATTATAATCATCAACGTTACAAAATTCTTCAGCATATTTGACAAGTAACTTCCATAAAGAATATGATACTGTCATACCAAGATTATATCTCGCATGCCAATATGCAATCGATACCTTAAAATATTGAATTATTATGTATTTAACAAACAAAATGTTGTTATATTTTACTTTAGAACCAAGTTTTTCAAATTGTCGACCTGATTTTTCCAAATTACCCAATGTGAAAAATAAACATTCTGGGCAAAGTCTATTGAATAAAACATAGAAGTATTTAAAGAAAAAAAATACCCAAATAATTATATACTTTGCTTGTTCATTTTCCATTTTACTTAAAAAAACAAGTGCATCAGGTGATAAATAAAAATCTTCTTCTAATAAAAGTAATAAAAGATCTGAACGATTTTGTAAGGTTTCAATTGAATTAAACACATAATTGAGCTAAAATTAAAATAGAATAATGTACATTGAGAATATATTTAAATCTATTCAAATATTCATGACATATGTAAGAACTGAATTTTAACCAATAAAAGACTATAAAAATATTATGTATAAAATGTTAACAGATGTCATTTTAACATCTATTGAATAACAACAGAAACTCAACTTACACGATGATTATTATAATTTATTATGTAGATTTTTGAGATTATGTTTAAATACAGTGATCAATGTCTTAGTAGAATACCGTTCATTATTAGTTTCTAACCTTCGGGAATGAAGTGATATATGCTTAACAATTCAGTAGGATTTCGAACTATGTGTTAGTAAAATCTTTTGTTTTTAATTTGTTAATAATTGATTAAAATAATTCTGTTAGAGTCATATCAATTTAGTTCACAAATCCTTTGTTTTTTAATGGTTTATTATAGCACTGAAGTTATATACGAAATAGTTACCCTTAATTTTCTCTATAGAAATTCTTTATTTCTCAGATCAATTTAAAAGTCTAAAAAACCAAAATACTAAATGATCGAAATCGATTTTCATTAAAATAATAAATCAAATATAACAAAATCAGAAATATTCAACTTACTTTCCACCACCAATGATGTTTTATTTGTACAATTGACACTTCTCTATAATGTCCATATTTATCTGGATATGGTGCATTTTTACATCGGGCAGCTAACGCTCTAAAGATACAATGTAAAATAAAGTATTGTTATATTAAGAAAATATCAGCATTAGAAAAAGCATGTTAGTGTGAAATGAGAAACAACCATTTCTTGCTCTTTGCAGTTATTTTGTTTATATTAGAGAAAAACGTACACAGAGGTGATCCAAAAACGTTTTCATTTATGTGGTTATTATTGGTTTTATTTTAGTTTCTAAACAACCTTCACCCACCTTTCCCTTTCATTACGTACTTCCGAACGTCTGTAAGAATAATTACATGATAAATAAGTGAAATATTCACTGATAAACATAATATTATACTTACTTATGTTTAGCTAAATCACGTGGACAATCATTTGGATCGAGACCAGGAAATTCATCTGGATAAAGTTGTTGAGAAAATGGATAAAAAATTTGAATCACCTATATATACATAAACAATTAAATTTTGTATTCAATTCATATAGAATAACTGGGACTCTAATCGTTATATATCTACCCATGTTATCAAAATCGCCAAGGTCTGTGCGATTAATCACGATTTTAAAAAATATCGACGATTATATCGCCAGTAAGAAATAGTTGTTTTATTGCAATTCCTACTAATCTAGACTTTTCGAAAAAAACTCGGCAAAAAGTCCTTAATTTTGGCGATTTTATCGCGATAGATCTCACAATCAATCGGCTCCTATATCGCGATAATATCGTCAATTTTTTCGAGATTTTTGGTGGTATGGATAGTGCAGTATCAAATGATGTTAAATTATCTAGTCTATTAAAATTCCGTCATTTATGATGAATATATTTCCACCCAAAAATAATCGTCACTTCGGACGATTTTATCCAAATCTTGGCCTATTGCGATAAATCTCACAATTAATCAGGTGCTAAATCAAGATTAAATCGTCGATGTTGATGACGTGGGTATATACAAATAGAAAAGCACTAAAGTAATTACGATAGGTAGAAATAATTATATTCCTATTTACTATCCCTGTCATTCATCGTACATTAGAACTTTTTCGAATTAGAAATAATTTACATAATCATAGCTAAAAATATGATTTTATCAGTTAGACTTTCGTAGAAGGAAATCATCTCGATATTATCATACTAATAAAAATCAAGCGTTACTGGAGATACAATGGTGTTTGAATTTTCTAACTACTGACCAGATGTTATACTTCTGCTTAATCTTATTTTTTTTAAATAAATATTATTCTAAAATCTAAAAATTAATTTTTATTACCGGAACAAATGTAATATTTGTTACAAGTATATTTATCTTTGGATCTATAAAATCATGACTGAATATCACTAATGTTTCATTTATTGTTTCAACTGAACGTAACATTTCAATAAATTTTTTTAAATAAACAACACGTGTATGTACTTGTACAAGTAGAACATATCGTGTTGATGATGAAAATAAATGTTTATTATACATAAATTGTTCATAATTTTTTCTTTCAACATATTTTCGATAATATTCAATTGTAGTTCGGTTAATAATAATTGATGTATTAGAATTTGCTATTGGATTAAATAATTTATCTTTATTTGTATTAGTATCATCAAATGGTAAAGCTAATGAAGTACTATCGATTGATTGTTGTTGAAGATCATAATATAATATTGTTGTTAATTTGATTGTAGTTATTATAAATAACCATAGAATAATATAACGAAGTATAATACAACGATACCGAAAAATACGAAGCATGATTTTTTTGATGAACACACCAGCCCATCAGAAATACAAAAGAAATTTTTTTTAATGTATTAAATATTCTATAAGAGTAATAAATTTGTTTAATTAATCATATTAAATAGATTCAAGTTCATCGAATGAATAAATTATTTTAATTCAATTACAAATGTTGTGAATATGATCTATTTAGAAAAGAAAAAAAACGAATTTATAAGAATGTCCTTTAACGTAGGAAAAATAAAGAGTGACAAAATAAATGTTTTACAGTACATGACATTGTTTTGTTAAATTAAACTCAAAAAGGCACTTTATGTTATGAAATTTTTAAAGTGGTCTTAGGAGTATTTAATCTTTTTGCATTAATTAAAGGCAACTTTTTTTTTTTAAATAGAGGATATCAAATAGCATGCTATAATCAATCGAAAGAAAAAAAACTAATAGAATCAATAGTATTATTCTCGGTCTGATAGATTAATAAAACTATATACACGATATTTTTTATAGACAATAAAATCAATTATTCTATTTTTACGGAACTGTTTATAGAATAAGGACTATTAAGGATTTATAGAGAATTAATTTTGTGTGAGAAAACAAGCAAATGGCGCTCTGTGTTTTATTTAATCATGAGGAAGTGTAAAAAAGAGATCGATTCGTAAAAATCTTCTATCAATGAGAAAGATAGGAATAGTATACAGATGGCAGTAGACAACGACTCGATATAATCAAATAGAACATGATATGCTTCTAATATACATAATTTATAGAAATTATCTACCGTGAGAATTTTTTTATTTATAAATTATTTGCGATTTATATTGTTCTAAATGAAATTTGCTAATAACAGATATTCTTTGGGATTTAGTACTAACGTTGTAATATATAACTCTGATATGCTTTAGATCGTTAACTTTATCAATGATGGAAGAAGCACTACGAGTATATAAATATATAATTAGAGTTACAAACGATAAAATAATAATACAAAACAGAGAGTATTACTAAGTTAAAATCAAGTATAGCCAGTATACTGGATGACTTGAATCATCTAGAGATCGTATTTAGCTCGATATTTGATTGGACTCTCTGCATTTTATTGACAATATTATTATGTATGAATTAGTATAACGTTGTAAGAATTTGCTGCGTAAAACAGAACATATTACTAACTAAATTCATCGTGTAGATCAGTTAACTTTTAAGATACGTGTTTTATCTCTTTACATACAAACGTATCATTTTTATTAGTATACTCATTTTACAAGAAAATAATTTGATAGAAAATATTCATATTCATTTTTTGTGTGTATATTGTCGAAAGATACTTCATAAATTTAGAACGAAATTTTAAAGATATTCTCATGAAAAAAGATGTCACTAAACAAAGATCCAATACTATTCTTGAATGACTCATCAGCTGTCTCTTTTTTAACTTCTTTTTTCATAAATTTTTTCAGATGTGTCCAGCTATTAATTCTAGGTAAGAAAAGCAACGAATAATTTAGAATTATTTTAACAATTAACATAAATTTTAGTTACCAAGTTACTATTACACCAGGTGCATATGTTTGTGAAGAACGTCTTCAATTAGTTGGTGAAATTTCAATTGGTATATAATCGAAAAGTTGATTCATATTTCTGAAAATATTGTATTCTAGGAGCTAAAACAATTATTCATCCAGGTGTAAGTATAATTGCTGAAGCTGGTCCGATTTTTATTGGTGATGGAAATCTTATTGAAGAACAATGTGTTATTGCTAATCGGTAATTAAAACAATTGTTATCTATTAAAGTCTTCTGTCAGAAAGAAAAAGATATTTTTTTGTACTATAGATTTCCACCTGGTAGTGATAAAGATCAAATGAATCAAGTTGTTATGATTATAGGGAATAATAATGTTTTTGAAGTTGGTTCACGTATGTTATTCAATTATAAATAATATTTTGTTACGTATTTATTTATAGAATGTGAAGCTCTTAAAGTTGGTGATAATAATATACTTGAATGTAAAGGTATGATGATGAAAATTACTTGAATTTATTTCTTAATAAAATTAGGAAAATCAATTTAGCTCAAGTTGGTCGTAGTGTTACATTAACAAGTGGTTGCGTTATTGGATCAAAATGTTCACTGACAACAAATGAAGTCTTACCAGAAAATACAGTTGTATTTGGTAGTGATCATCAACGGCGTACAATGCCCGATCGACCAGCTGTATATATATTATTTTTTCTTTATTGATAAGATCATTAAAAACAATATCTGTTTTTTATATTAATAGTTTCAAACTCATCAACTTGATTTTCTTGCACGTATTTTACCAACATCACATTATGTTCTTAAACATGGTACAAAAAGTCACACACCAGCAGCTACATAAACTATTTTCTTTACTTCTATCTTATATTTTAAAAAAAAATGTTTTTTTTGTTTATGTTCGAGATAAGTCTTCTTTGTTTTTATGGTTCTGATAATACTTTATTGGATTTTGGATCTCACCTTTTTTTCTAATACGGGATAAATGGCATATTACTCTTTTTCAACCACACATTCTCTTTTTTTTCCTATTCATTAGTACGATATTTATACATGATAAGATATCATAGCATCATGTCGACATCTGTGTGTGATATACTCGACAAATTGTCTGTGATCCATCATGAACAAGAAAATAAAGATGGATGAAATTAGAGTATAGCCTTGCGTATGAGTTATTTTTCTTCTGTTCTAATATTATTCCTCATTTTTCTTGCACCGCCTATAATGATGTTGTACTCTATAAGCATGAATTAGCGTCACCGAGATATCAACAAATGATGAATGATTATTGATCTTGTGCAAAAAAAAAATAATATAAAAGAAAATTTTTTCTAATGGATTTTCGTCGTTTCACAATGACGAATCCTACTGTGCTGTTCTCTAGTATAGCACACGAAGCATGGGGTCATAAAATTACTGATGAAGAAGAAGAAGATGAAAATGATGAACATCAAATCGATGAACATAATGCAAGTATACGAGCTCGACGTCGATTCAGAGTAAGTAAATATATATAGTATTATACTGATTTTTATTATATTAAAAACTATTAATCGAGTTGTCTCGAGTGTTAAAGATAAAAAGAAATGTCACACAGTTCTTATCGGATTGTCTGTTGCTAGAGAAATCATACGATATGAATCAGTCAAAGTCTCTCGAGAAACATAAATACTATTCAAAGTTAATGTGAATATAAATTGCTTTTATGACCATTATTTACGGCAATATTTCTATTCTAATGTGTTATTCTTAACTATCAATATTTGTTCTTTCTTTTTTCACAGATAGGAAATAAAAGAAAATCTCGTATTGTAGCTTATATGTCTATATATATATATGCGTTTCCAAATAGCTTCTTTGTATGTCACATATGGCTGTTACGGATTCTTTGAAAGTATTAACAAAGAAAATGCCAATAAGTGTTAACGTGTCTAACGGCATCAAAAATCTTTATTGCCTATTTCGAGTAAAGAGAATCGTTCGGTCGATCGATCGATGATATTTATTTTATTAATAATAACTAAACAAAGACGACCTTGACATCCCAATTCTGATCATATTAATTCGATACAAAACAGTCCACTACACACTAATAGGCTGTATATTTGCCACAGAAATATACATAAGAATGTAAAAAAAAAAAGATAACAGAAACGTTTGGGAATGATAATAACAGGAAAACGCATTAGAAATGCCATCTGCACAGATTTGCAGCAAGACAAAGGTCTGAAAAGATAAAGAAATAAGTAGTATAATCATTAATAATTATAGATGACTGTGAAATGGATAGCAGCCCCATTCAGCTTTCAAAGAAGAGAACCAGCTGGATGGTAACTCGAGATATGCAGGTAATTTGTTATTGTGTAAGTCTTCTATTTATATATGTGTATATATATATATATATACATATACCCATATCCATCTTAACACGGTTAAGTATGTAAATTATGCGAGAGAAAATAAACGACAACGACAATACGCGACCACCGACAATGATGAGATGACTTATGTGTACTAATAACCTTCTTTAACATTCGTTTTTTTTCTCTCTCTCTTTCTCTGTCTTCTTACATAGACAGAACAATATTGATTTACAATATACTATATACAATCATGGAACCTCAATTATCAATTATGAGACGAACATCGAAAGTGATTAAGATAGAAGAATAATATTTTCAAACAAAATAATTTTATTTCATATCATTTTTATTTTCTAATTTTAGCGTGATTTTAATACTTTACCAGAAAAAGTATTATTAGCAGTATTTTCCTATTTACCACATATAGAACTATTACGTTGTGCACGTGTCTGTCGATTATGGCGTTCTCTAAGTCAAAATTCCAAATTATGGAAAACAGTTTTTCTTCGACCAGAATATCATGGTTTACATGTAAAAAATTCAGAACAATTTCTTAATTTAATTGGTCATCGTTTTTCAACATCATTACAATTTATTGAATTACCAATGGAATTAATAACCGCTGATATTCTACATGAATTAGCTAATAAATGTCCAAATTTAAAATATTTAACATTAGATTTTTCAACAGCTATGCAATTACATGATTTCTATGATTTAAATGCGTTTCCATGCAATCTTAAAATGATCTGTATTTGTTTATCAGAAGTTATTTTTCTTGAAGGTTTTATGAGACGTATTTATACATATTTATCGTCATTAGAAGTTTTACAAATAATCGGTATGACAAAAAAAGGTCATTTTTAAGAATATATGGTTGTTTTTTTTGTGAAGGTACTATTGAGAAATCAAATGAAGCGCAAGAAGAAATATATGAAACAATTAATATTAGTAAAATAAAAGCTCAAACACCCAATCTTCGTGTAAGTTTGTAAAAGATAAAAATTTGTTTGTTTTCGTCATATATTTGACATATATACGTCAAATTCTTTCAAATCAAGTAAAGTACAATTATTTATCTATTATAATGACACAAGTTCTACTATAATGTTTTATATTGAAGAGATTAACATAATTATGGCTTAATATTATAGAATAACATAAGCCAATTGTCAATCATCATATGTCTAAAAATATTGCATATAACAAGGGAAAAGATTTGATATGACATAATTTTTTCTAAAATACGATATACATAGTGTTTTTACCGAGAATATCAACAATAAATTAATATCTGTTCATTCACGAAAGTTTTTGTATGTCAAAATAACCTTTCTTTCAGTACTCCGCCTTATATATGGATATATAAAGTGAAGTTTCGTCAACAAAACCCACTCTCTTACTGTCTGTATCAATTACACGCTAGAGATAAATAATGATTGACGATAGACCTATCTTTTATGATAAGTATTTATATGTAAAAGAAATTCATTATTATAAGAACTAATAATTAACTTTTGTCATTGTAATAAATAAATTTATTAGAATCTAAAAAAATCGATTTCAAGGAAAATTATGTATATTCTTATTTATAGGTTATAAATTTATATGGTATATTTTTTGTTGATGATAATCATATAGAAATCATAGCATCTGGTTGTATTCATCTTGAATGTCTTGCATTAAATTTTTGTACACGTGTTAAAGGTACAAGTTTTAAAAATTTATTACAACGTTGTAGAAAATTACAATGTCTTCTTCTTCAAAATACTGGTAGAAATATAAAATCGAATCTTTAAATTTGTTCAATAATTGCTTTTGTTATCAATAGGTATCGAAGATACTCCAATGTTAACTGCTGATTGGGGATCGTCATGTGTTAATGAACTTGATATATCATCAACTGATTTAACAGAAAATTGTCTCTTAGCTATTTTCGAACGAATGCCTAAATTAACTTATTTAGCAGTACCTAATTGTGATGGTTTTACTGATAAGGTAAACTTTATATACCTTTATTGTTTATTTAATATATTTCTGTTCAAGGTTCTTGCATTACTTATTGAACTAGGCAAATTAACAAATATTCGTGCTATTGATTTAAGTAATACAGTTAATCTTAATTATGAAGTTGTATTTACATTACTTAAACTACATGGTCGACAATTACGTGGCATATCTTATGCTGGTAATTCAAAAGTAACAGAACAATTTTGGATAAATACAATAAAACATATGAGAAATATCAAGTATGTTTGTAATTATTGACAAAAAAAAATTTCAATACTTACATAATGTATTTTTTTAAGAATTCTGGTTATTGGTACACCACATGGTTGGTTTAAAAAAATCAATACACGTATTCATATTGATCAAATATTAGAAGCATGTGCACAAGAATGTCAAAAATTAGAACGATTAGAAATTCAATGGGATGAAGAAACATTAAGATGGAATGAAAATAGTTCGAAATTTATTGATCATATTCGGTATAAATACGCTTATATTCTTTTTTTTTTGCAAATATTGTCTTATAAATTGTATTTATAGAATTCGTTGTGTAAAACTTCATTCATTAGTATTAGCTGATGGTGAATATTACGAACTTGTACGATCAAATTTTGAACGTGCTGATCGTCAACGTGTTGTACGCACCACCACAAGTGATCAAACTAGTATTGTTGGTTTACTCAATTATTATAATGATTTACGTTTTAACTGATGTGTATAATGCATCTTTATTCATACGATCATTGTTCTTACATTTGTCTTTGCCTTTTTTTTTCTCTTTCATGATTACCCCATTATTGATAATAATAACTATTGTAAAACATACATCTGTTATATAATATGTTCATCATAGTCTACAGACCTTGCTGAGCAAGGTAATCATAAGAATGATTGAGTACTATTGGAAATAAGTATTGTGTATTTAATTGATAAAAAAATGAATATATAAATATTAAATAGAGAGTAAATGAGAAGTTAATTACATAATTCGAAACGAAAAGAAAAGAAGTTGTTTGATTTATTTAATAGAGAAACAGAAATTTAGTTTTTAAATATGAACCATAAGTTCGTTTTCCTGACATATTATTAATTGGATATATTCGATTTGAAAACTAATTACAAAAAGGCGAATAATATTTTGATATTGATATTATCGTGTCATTGAAAACATATGATTGCGTATGTGTGAGATAATTACAAAAAAAATAATTTTAATTTATCATCATTGAATATGTGCATTTGCAAATTTTTTTGTCCTTCATTTATCAAGTGTTAATCTTGTTTATCGGTATATCATATAAGTTAACAAAAGCGTCCATAAACTGTCATCAGTTTGTTTTTCGTAATAGCAATTATAAATGAAGGTTTCTAATTGTTATTAATGTAGCTATAGTTGTCTAGTTCCTCACTTTTTCATTGTTCTATTGTTATATTTATATTATTTCAGCAAAGAAAAAAACGACCATGAAGTATCAGCTCACCAAATACTTGGGCATAATACAGCTGTCTTTTTCTGTCTGTCTCGTTTCTATGTGTATTATTTCTATCCACGCATGAACTACTTGGTCTATATAAGCCGTAATTTACTATCAAATTTTCATCATATCTATCATTCACATAGAAACCATTCACACACATATACGATAACGAATTACAATGGCTAATTATTCTGGTGCTGAAGCAGTTTTTCAACAAGCTGATACCAATCATGATGGTCATCTAGATCAGGGCGAATTCCGTCAATTCCTTGGTAAGTCATCATTTTAGTCATAGTGTATATATATATATGAATTGAAATTATTATTATTTTAAGGACAACAAATTGGTGGTGGCGGCGGCGGTGGTGCTGGTTACAGTGCTGGTTTCGGTGCTGGAGGTGCTGCTGGTGCTTCAGGTTATGAATCATCTTCATTCGAATCATCACAGAGCGTTGGTTATGGAGGTGGTGCTGCTGGCGGTGCTAGTGGTTACGAAGCACAATTTGGTGCTGCTGGTGGAGCAGGTGGTGGTTATGGTGCACAATCATCATCATTCGAATCATCAAGCTTTCAAGCTGGTGGCGGTCAGGGTGGTTTTGCTGCTGGTGGAGCTGTTGGCGCAGGTGGAGCAGCCTTTGAATCAGCATCATCAAGTACTCAAGTACAACAATATGCTACTGATTCTCAAGGTCTCTTTCAAGATCCAAATCCACAAATTATTCGTCGTCCAGCTGTTGGCGGTGTTCAAACATATACACAAAATATTAGAGTTCGCTTTCTTCAACCACCACCTATTCCACCACCAGGTGTAAGTAGTTAACACTAATTCTCATAATCTATATTAAGTAAATTTATTTTATCCATTTTCTTATAGCCACTCATCATTAAAGAAGTTCGCCCACCTCAACCACCTCCACCACCACCTCTTCGTATTCGTCAACAGGCTCCACCTATTCCTCAACCACCTCCCCTTATCCTTCGTGAAAAACCACCACAGCCACCACAGTCAGTTGCTTCTCAAACAGTCGTTCGTCGTTTAGCTGCTTTAGCTGTTCCACCACGATCAGTCATTATTGAACGTCTTCCACCTCTTCCACCACGACCACGTACGTACCTTCTTTTCTCTATATATAATTAGTATTCTTATCGTATTGATCATATCTTTTAGGTGATGTTATCATTGAGCGTTGGGTTCCATATGGAGCTCAATCTAAACGACGTACCATTGTTCAACGTGCAGCTGCAGCTCAACAATATGCACGTCCACGTAATATTATCATTCAATACGATGCAGTTCAAGTTCGTGTTGTTCGTCAATTCCAACGCCTTGGTGTTACTCAAGCTAATCCACAAGCTTATCTTCAACAATATGGTGCTCAATTACTTGATGCTGCTACACTCCTACAACAAGCTCGTAGTGCTGGTGTTGTTGAAGATATTGTATGTAGCTAATCTTATTTGTTTTGTTCTTAGACTAATTATCTTATTATTCTTTAGTCACCACCAGTTGTCGCTGGAGCTGCTGGTTTTGCTGCTGGCGGATTCAGTGCTCAATCAGGTTTCGAAGGTGGTGTTGCTGGTGCTGGTGGTGGTGCTGCTGGAGGAGAATATAGCTCATCATCATTTGAATCATCTGGTTTCTCGGCAGGTGGTGGTGGTGCTGCTGGTCTTGAAGCAGGTTTTGCTGCTGCTGGTGGAGCAGGTGGTGGTTATGGTGCACAATCATCATCATTCGAATCATCAAGCTTTCAAGCTGGTGGTGGCCAGGGTGGTTTTGCTGTTGGTGGAGCCGATGGTGCTTTTGCTGCTGCTGATGCTAATCATGATGGTGGTGTCGATCGTGGTGAATTTGCTAACTTCCTTGGTAAGTATCTGTTCTAATTATGTTTGTTCTCTTTCTATCTTATGATCATTATAATATTATCTGATGTTTAGGTCATGCCGGTGGTGGTGGTGGTGGTGCAAGTCAATCATCATTTCAATCAGCATCATACAGTTCCGAAGGTGCTTTTTAAACACCTAAGTCATCAATCATATGTTAATTCTTAGGTGTATTTAGTTTTTTTTTTAAAAAGTTAGGTATATTATTATTTTTTTTACTCAGTTAAGTTTACGAATCTTTTTTTTTTGTTTTTATTTAAACAAGAATACTTAATACGTTTTTTTTTGTTTCGCTTTAATTTCATTATTTCTTTTGTGGTTTTTGATTTCAAATAAAATAGTACACGATTACTGATAAACTTATTATTGTATATAATGTTCTTACTTAAAAAAACTTCGAGCATTTATCAAACGAAGGTAACATATTACATACTCATTATTTATTGGCTATCGGATCGATCTGTAAATAATTTATGATACAATAGTAGATATTTTTTGCCCTTGATACTTCATTTCTGTCTATTATTCATATATGACATTGACTTTTTTAATCATATTATTGATGATAAATCATTGATGCATAATAACATATATCAAGTATCGGATTATTTATTGATCAATCGATTGATACTCGATCTCAACTAAAAAAAATGTGTACAGTTTTATGTATGAAGAGATATATTCCATTCTGAAAGACAAAATTTTTTATTGTTTTCAGCAATCTGCATGTAATACACTACACACATACAACATCAAAAAAAAAAAAGAAAAAAAAAACACACTAGTTTTTCTGTTCATTAGCAATGTTTGTTTCTATTATTTCATGTTAGTATTACTTGATAATTGTTCCGTTTGATATGATCCAAATTGAAAAATTTTTTCATAATTTTCAAAAGCAATTAAACGAATAATATGTTGAGCATAATTTGTTATACTTAAACGTTGTTCATTTGTTAAATAAGCAGCGGCATCGATTAATTCTTTTTCACATGGATCAATTATACCAGGACCAATTTGATTTGGTAAAAGTATACCACTACTTAAACAAGCAAATACTGAACGAAAAAGGTTGGTTAATAAATTTGGTGGTTGATTTTGACATTTATAAACTAGTAAAGTAAGACACCAAAGATTAAGAAATGATAATGGTGTTTGATTGTATTGTAAATCACGTAAAATACGAAGAACAATTATATTTGAATTCTGTTCAAGCATACAATGAGTAAACCAATTTGAATGACCTAAAATAAATTAAAAATATAAAAACAAATGAAGATTTATCTATTGAATTACATACGTATTTCAGCTGCTGCTTCTAAACATTTATTTTTATTTAACATATCAATTGGATCGGGATTTAATTCAGCTACTTGTTGTCGTGTGGTATTATCAAGATTAAGAAAGTTTTCACTACGAAATACCGGTGATGTTAACATTATTCGAATAGTATGTTTAGGTAAAAGACTACATTTAATAGTAAGACATGCATCATCGGCATGTGTTTCAATTTCATAAGTTGTTGGAATTGATTGTTCGCCATTATTTGAATCTAAATGTATAGCTGCAATAGCTTGAGCATTTAATCCAATAGTTAATTCTTGACAAATATCATTAAGTAATGTTAATGTTGGTTTATTTGCACATATAAGTACTAAGGAATATTGTTCATCAGTTTTAAGAAAAAGACGCATAGCTAATGTCGAAACTTTCATTGCACCTTTTAGCATTCTATGAAAATAATAAGAGATTGTGAAAAAAATTAAATTTTTATGTTCTATTACCGATATGCTTCAGTTGCATCTTCAGTAGGTTGTTCGACATTATTTAATTTCACATTATCTGGCAATTTTGGTTCAACAGGCATATTATTTATTTTACATTGTTCAGTAATCTTATCGGATACAGTTTTTAATGCTCGTTCGATATCTTCAATTAAACGTTGTAAAATCAGTATTGTATGTTCACTTTCACTTATTTCTGTATATTTATTGTTTATTAAATTTTGAAATGCATTTTCATTATTTGAAATTGTTTGTTGTTGTTGTTGTATTGGTGGCGGATATGATTTTTGTCGTACTGGTTGTGGTGATGGATATTGATGACGAATATTTGAATACACTAAATGATAAATAATAATAAAATAATATCAAAGACAATTCCTAAGAAAAAACTTGATTTTAGAAAATAAATATGTTTTTTTTTGTTTGAATTGGTCTCTATAATCAAGTTTTCTCATTTTTTGTTTATTATGTAATGTACTTACCGTAGTTACAGTTCTGATGCTTTTTCTATTTCTTTTCCTTTGAATTAATTGAAAGCGAGTAGACTGATTCTCTGATTTACGCGTAAATTTGATCTGCCCATCAAATTAGCGTATATTCAATTATATGTGTTTACAGTAAGAAAAACGGAAAAGAAATAAATAGGCAGATTACAAATCCATAGGACTAGAGAAAGAAGTATTCTTTCATAAAAATTAGTTTCTCTCTATCAATTATTCAAATAAAAAAGAAAGCGAACGAGCTTCGTTCGTGTGTATTGATAACCATTCATCAATAAAATCAGCCTGCAACTATAAAATGAATGAATATTGTACTTATTTACGTTATCAATACGTAATATCTTTATATATATCAATAAAAGAAAAGAATAAAACAATCGAAAACTTACTTCCTTGACCAACTCCTCCTCTACGTGGTGCTCTTGCTGATGGTACTCCACGTTGTGCTAATTCAGGTTTTTTTAATGCTGTTGATGCTAATGCTTGTTCAGCAGCTATGTAATAATATAATTTAAAACGATATTTTCAATAAATAATTGATTTTAACTTACCAACTTGTTGTGCTCGTTTAATACTTGTTCCAGTACCTTGATATGTTTCACCACCAAGAGTTAATTGAACATCAAATTGTTTACAATGTGCTGGACCAGCTTCTTTTATTAAATCATATTTAGCGTCTACCTACAAATCAAAGACATAAATTCATTCAAATTTTTCTAATTTTATTGTATAAACCTTATTAAATTTTGCTAATTCATTCAATAATTGTAAAGTACCCTTATCACTAGAAGATGCTGGTGGTTTAATATTAGTAGCTACAGATAAAATCGGTTCAGGTTTAGGTACTACATCCGCCGTTGGTACTATTGGAAGGGAAGGTTTTTGTTCGATATCGATAGTATCGGCTGTTTGATTGTTAGGTGTAGTTGGTGTTGATACTGTCTATATATAAATTAGAAATAAAATAATGGGTGGCAAATCAATTTTTTGTTTTACTTTAAGTTTTAATTTTTTAATATGTTTTTGTCCTCGAATATGAGCATCCATCATTTGTTGAGAATTAACTTCGATACCACATGCATCACATGTTAATATTTCCTGCTTTCGTTTTTCAGGTCGAACCGTTTGCATCTAAAGTTTTATCTTTTTGTAAAAGGAAAATAATATAAAAATCAAAATCAATCTACTGTGTGTCTTATATTATAAAAATGGGCAGCAGGTGCTTGAAAATGTGGTGGTAGTGTTTGATTACTATATGGTTGTTCCATTAATGTTGGATGTTGAGATGTATTATGTATTGGAAATGGATAGGACATAAGTGCAGCAGGTGGATTATTGTTAAAATTCACGTTATTATTCATGGTTTTTTCGAATAATAGAAAATAAATAGTTCTTTCGAGTTATGAAAGTTTAGAATATTTGAAATAGGGATATAAAAATAAACAGGATGACAAAACAGAAAAAGTCATAGTCTCGTTAGAACGATCATATAATTTGATAAAATATTAATCAAACATAATTTTATACGACAGATGGCGTGATTTATCATTTGAAAAGGCAAAGATTTAATTAAAACATTCGAATAAATTCATTGTCTTTGTTTTTTCGAAGATATAATCTATTAAGAAACATAGAACAAACCAAACTTAGCAGTTCTCTAGCATAATAATTAACTTGTTTAATCCTTTCGTTACAGATTTTTTTTCTCTGTATTAAACCTCAGTAAACTTTTAATCTAGCAGTTTTTTAGAGATGGAGACCTCTGACGGATTGAGAAGCGTCCGATCTTGCCTTTTCGAAAACTGCAGTTTACGGCTGATAGAGACACATGTAGAAACTGATTCATCTATTTCCGCATGCGATGTATGAAATATAAGTAATAATAAACTTTGTTATACTTGAGCGAAAATTTTGGGTGTGGGTGTGGGTGTGAGCGTCGAAGAAAAAGAGAAACTTCCATCCACACCCTTTCATAGAATACCCTGTTTAATTAGCTTTCAAGAGATCGTACATCGATTTCTGTGAATTTTACTAAAAAAAAATATTAAAAACAGGTGTAGCTTTTTTATACTATTATAACGAAAGGGTTCAATTTGAACGTATGTAATAATACTACACAAGTATTACCATATGAACAAAGGCCAAATTATTGTTAAATGATATATTTTATTATAAATAATTACTTCGATATTAAGCTAGATAAAATAATCCAAAAAATTATTTATATATGTGATATGTACATAACTTTAATGAATTTAGGAGACTGAATCAATATTGAATTATGTATGGAAGAGTTCTTCTCAAATCTCTTCTCAATATATTCCCATTTCGATATGTTTTTCATGAGAGGAAGAATAAATTTATTTAATATATTATAATTTTGACTCTTGCTTGGTGTTAATAATGTTTTTTACATGTTAAAGGAGCTTATATATTTCTTATTTCCTTAACTGAAGTATTTACATATGGCGAGCCTACAAAATGAAACCTTTTTTTTCATAGAAAGCATTCAAACGAAGGTGAAAATTTGTATATTAAACATATGATCAAATTGCATCAATATTTATGTAAGATTTTACTATGTAATAAATGAGAATTTTCAACGTATGTTATGATTAAATTTGAAGCTTACATTAATAACTTCAAACCAACAAATAGTTTGTTAATTTTTTTTAAAAATAGTAATGTACACATAGACAAGAATGAATTTTAATATGTATCATGTTGTATTATAGAAAAAGCAATGATTTAGGATTATGTTTAATTATAATGTTCTCTAGTTAAATCCGAAAAAATCTCCTTAAGAATATCTTTTTATAATAGAAAAATTACTGAAACATTAATAATTTATTTAATGGATTAGAGACACAATAGAAACTAATGTCTAATCGGAACTCTGAATATAAGATGGAATTTTTCTGCATGATTTCCATTACCTAAGTCAAAATGGAGATTTCTATTCTCACGGGAAATCTAGGGGGAATCGTCCTTCTCACAGGAGACACCATTTAAAACCTAACGTCACTAAAGCATGACATAATATGACATCTATCGTCACTATTATTCAAACCATTAACCAAAGAATATCAAGACTGTACTTTTAGCATAGTATGAAGGAAGAAGCAATCATCAATAAATATATATATATGTATTCATTTTGTCATTTTTCTTTGATTTGACCTTTGAGTTTCCGATTGTCTTAAGTTATTAGTATGCTTCCAAGCATCAAAAAACTTATATAATAAATTATCTTTCTATCTATTCTTTTGAATTATAGACGAGTCACCAAATATGAACAAAACCCACACGATCAATAACTACTTAAATTATTAATTAATCAATTAAAATGATGAATATACATCGAGATTCTTTTTTATATGAATGTTTACAAATTGGTGCATTATGTTTAGTTTGGTACAGTAAGTAACTATTGATGGCATATCTATTAAAAAATATTCATAATCTGTATATACTAATTAGGTGCATCAGCAGCAGGCAATGTAATTGTTAAAGAATTACTTAATGAATTTCCATTTCCGTTAACTGTTACACTTGTACAACTCTTAAGTATATGGATTCTTTGTATTCCACTTATTCAGTATATATATATATGAATGATTATTTTATATTCTATTAAATATGATTATATTTTAGTTTCTGGAAAGTTCCACCGCCTGAATATCTTTATCAAAATCGAGTATACTATTTTAAAATTATAATTCCATTAGCTATAGGCAAATTTCTTTCACAATTATCATCTCATGTTAGTCTTTGGAAAGTACCTGTTTCCTTTGCTCATACAGTAAAAGCAACAATGCCATTATTTACTATGTAAATCTCTCTTATTTTATTTTAATCTATATGTATATTTAAATTCTTTTTTTCTTCAAGAGTTTTATCTCGATTAATCCTTCATGAAAAACAAACTGCACCTGTTTATATTTCACTGATACCGGTTATGATTGGTGTTATTATAGCAACAGTAACAGAACTTTCATTTAATATGATTGGTTTTATCAGTGCTCTACTTTCAACATTTGGTTTTTCATTACAAAATATTTATTCAAAAAAAGTAAATAAAAACGAAAAAAAAGATTATTTAGTTTATTTTTTGCTTTAATTAGTCATTGAAAGATATCGCAATTCATCAATTTATATTACTTTCGTTATTAGCTAAAATCGGTTGTTGTTTATTTATGCCTTTTTGGTTTTTTTATGATGGAATTGATATATATTACAATGAAAAATACGTGAGTAGGTGATAATTTATTTATATGCATTGAAAAATCTAAAAAATATTGTGTTTTAAATAATTTAGCATCAATATAAAACAGCAATACGAATTATTGCTTATCTAGTTATTGATGGTATACTTCATTTTTTACATAATGTTGTAGCATTCACAATGATCTCACTCGTATCACCATTGTCATATAGTATTGCAAATAGTTCAAAGCGAATTGTTGTTATTGGTACATCATTAATTGTATTACAAAATCCGGTAACATTTAGTAATGTTGTTGGCATGAGTTTAGCTGCATTCGGTGTTATGTTATATAATAAAGTATGTTGTTTAATTAATATTTACGTATTAAAATGTAGTGACAATATAATTACGAGAGATATAAGTGGTTAAGAGATTAGTCGTAGAAAATATTCAAAGGTATTTTACAGAGGTGAAGAATCTTCTGCGCGTAGGGGGGGGGGGAATTTTTTAAATACTGCATTTTTCAAGGAAATTCTTGGGAATTTTGCGGGGAGGGAGGGAATTTTTGGGAAGATTCTTTACCTCTGGTATTTTAACTATGAATGATAATTCATGCGTTTTGTTTTTCAGTTGGAATTATTGTAATATCTATGCATTGATGTTAACATAAACGAAATAGACAGAGAATCAGAATTTTATATACTTGTATACGTGATACTGAATAAAATAATATTCATTGAAAAAAATATTTATGAATCGCAAACAAGATCTTGATTTCTAAGAAAAATTATAGTAGCATTCCTTATTCGTTTGTTCTCAACATTTCTTCTTTAAATGGTATCGTATGTCAACAGCTATAAATATTTTAATAGACAAATCTATCTTATTGTTCGAAAATATTTTGTTGATAGATAAAGAATATTAAAATAATAGGAAAAAAAATCTATTAAGAAGCTTTACGATTTTTATAATTCTTTCTATAGTTCGCTAAACTATGCAGAAGAAAACAAAAACTTTGTAATTTATTCTTGAATATAATAAACATATTTCCTATTCTATTTAGCCACTTATCGAAATATCATTGAGAATAGAAAAAGAAATTAACATTTTTTTTTAATTGAAAACAAACCTCTATTATTACAAAATAGTTCATCTAGTATGTATTCAGACAAAAATAAATTAGATATTATTTTCTAACACTCTAGAGATTACACAAAACATGAATCTAATATACTTCTATTTTTTTCTCTTCTTATAACAAACTAATAACGTTATTACATTTTTTTATATTTGAAGTTACTTTTCCATATAGTTCCATTTCCTGTATATTAATAGTATCGTTTCAGAATAGTTTTAATGGAAAAAGAAACCTAGACTAAATGTTTTTCTGCTCTGTTGCATGAATAAACCTTGTATAAAATAAAAAAAGATACTTTTTAAAAGAAAGAATTTGTATTGCGTAGTAAATGTTCATCAATAAGTAACTTTTACCGTTTAAATTTATAGAATATTTCTATTTTTTATTGAAAAAAAAGTGCTTCGTTCTTAATAATTTATTTCTTTAGGCTAAATATGATCAACGTCGTACTCAACATAAAGAAACAATTTTGCCATTAGTTCGAGCTGAACCAACCTTAAATTCATTAATAAATTCATTAACTCATGATGAACATCAATCTCCACATTCGGGCACAGAAGTATTATCTCGTCATCATTCATTATCACATGAAATCCGTCCATCTATTTATCATGAAATTCAAACATTTAAAAATGTTTAATATTGTTTTATTTTTATTTCTTATTAATTAATCCTCTAGTAAAAGAAAATGCTTTTTATTCTTAAAAGAGCAAACTAGGAAGATACATGGCTCAATTAGCCAAAAAAAAAAGATCAACATAAGAGAAAGAAATCAACAAAGCAGCAAAAAAGAAAAAAGAGCGAGTAAATAATTCAAATAATAATAGTAATAATAATAATCATAATAATAAATGTTTTAAGAAAAAAAGAAAAAAACCTTCTTGGAATTATTTTGTTATGTCGAAAGAAAAGGAAAATAAACAAAAATTTTTAACGCAACAAAATTCTTATGATACAAAAGGAATGACTGACTGTCTAAATTCGAATAAATAGATGAAGGTATATTGTCTATCGGAAAGAAAAAGAGAAGAAAAAAAAAAGAAGAAAATTATTGTTTGACTAGGAATGAAATAAACAGACACACATGAACACATTTTCGTTGTTATCATTCATGACTAGATATACACTGTGTGTCAACAAGATCTTTTAATATGGTTTAGCTAAATCTTTTGGACGTTTTAATTGAACTTTTAAACGTTTCATACCGATTTGAAATCCATTCATCGATTGTATGGCTAGAATAAATTGAATATAAAAATAAATAATTATTTTTCTTCTTGAAAATATTACCTTGTTGAGCACATTGGGGATTATCATAAGAAACAAAACCTAGAAAAGAGAAAAAATACAAAGATATTTAATTAATGCAATTGTCTGAATTTGTGATAAGAGAAAAGAAAAGATGACGCGTGCAATGAGAATTAAAAAAAAGAGAGAATTGCATTGGATTGTCACATCACAACATCAAATAGTATACAAAAAAAAAAGGAACTGATAAAAGTTTCTTGATGCAGCGATCCAGTACAATGTTCAAATCTTTTTTTTGTCCTCTTGTTTCGTGTATACTTTTATTTTCTCTTTTTTTTCTCACGACATATAGATATATAGATATATAAACAAAAAAACATCGAAACATTTATATATGTACCAAAACATTTGGATTGATTGGTGGCACGGTCAACATAGACCTTGGCGGATATAACATTGCCAAATGGCATAAACATTGATGCAAGTTCGGAATCGCCAAACTCTTGTGGTAAATGGTAGATGAAAAGATTGCAACCGTCTGGTCCGAAAAATTGTGGTAAAGCTATGAAATCGAAATTGTTCAAAATTAATTCGTACAAGAAAAACAAAAACAAAGTTTTGTTTTTACTAATTAACAGATTATTCTATTAATTAAGATTTATTTTACTAACCTTCTTTTCCAGGTGATGCTAATGCACTTGGAATGAGTGTGGTAGTTGGTAAATGAGAATAGATAGCTGTAGGAGCATAAATAGGATACTGAGCAGGTAAAGTAGTATAAGTTGTACCAGGTTGAAGTTGTAAACCAGTAGCTGAATCTATTGTTGGACCAACAACAGCTAATATAGAGAAGATTATATATTTTTTTGTTGTTAATATTTACTTGGATATTGCATTCCTGATGAAAATAAATCAGTTGGTTGTCCATTTTGATTAGGCACAGTTGTTTGATATATTGTTCCAGGACCATTATTAACAGGAGATGCATTGACTAAAGTATAATGAGGAAAGTCCATATTGTCACAATCACCTATGAGATGATTTTACTCAAATTTTTATCCTGATATTTTTATTTTAAAATCGATGAAGGTTTTTTTGTTTAAAATACTAAACAACTTCATTTCTTTATATGTATTTACCTGTTGATGGCGTCATTGCACCATTACTCATTTGTTGACCAGATGTTGTTAAAACAGGTATAGTTGTATATGCTGTTTGATGTGTACCGGTTGATGATGCCAATAGAGCTTGCTGTTGAATTTGCGTATAACCTTGATAATTTAAATTAGCTGCTATTTGTTGAAGTACTAATGGATTTGATAAAAGTCCGAGTGGGCCAGCTAATTGTTGCATACGTCTTAATTGTCGTTCTTTTTCTGTATCAGCAAATTTAACAACAATTGATGATGATGCACCTGGAAATGTTTGACTTCCATGAACATTTTGTATAGCTTGTTGAGCTTCATTATGAGTAGCATATTTCACAAATGCACAACCTTTACTATCACCACTAGGTCCACGTAAAATTGTACACTCTTCAATAGTACCATATGCTTCAAATATAGCACGAACATTTTCTTCTGTCATTTGTTTGTTCAACATGCCAACAAATAATTTGCGGTCCTCTATTAATGGAAAAAAACATGACAAATATATTTATCTATATACATAAAAACATCTGCCATTTGACTACATACACACACACACACACACACACGTATGAACTCATTTAATCAATACATTTTTAGTAACTATTTCATTTTTTTTTTTGTTATTCCTCACCTAAATTTCGTACTCTATTTATTGTTGTTGAATATTGTGGTTGAGTCTGGTTAGAAGCTGTTACCATCATATATAAATATGTGTGTAATATGGAATCGAAAGAGAATAATGATGAAGATGTAAAAAAGAAAATTTCTTCTGTTTTTTCTTCTCTTCTTCGCTCGGAAATCCCTAGCGTCTACTTCTCTTCTGCTTCTTCTTCGTTTTTTTGTCGACCGGAAAAAGTAGTCACTCTCTTTCTTTTTTCTTCTCTTTCTCTCTCTCTCTTCCTCTCTTCGTCTTCTTTCTCAACTACCTAGCTAGCTATCCAACCGTTCTTCTCTCTCTCTCTCTCTTGTCGGGTCAAGTTTCCATCGCTGATGGGAAATCTTATTAGGCTCCTTTTTTTTTATCTGTCAGTCGAAAAAAAAAAAAGAAGAGAAGGATGCTCTACTGCTATTCTCGCTCGCTCATATACCGATTGGACAATTTGCTTTTCTTTATTCTTTTCCAGTTCTTTTTTTCATAAGCGCACACTGATGCTTTTTTTCTATTAAGACTAAAAAAAAGTAATTTTCCCTTCTCTTCTCATACTACAATTAACCTGATGTATATGTGTGTATGGTGAAAATGACAGACAAAGATTAGGAAGAAAAGATAATCATTAGAATATAAAAAAAAAGAGAGGAGAAAAAAAATGAGAAGATGTATGTGATTTTTTTTATGTTCACAACGACGAGGCTGAGCACATCGATATAGACCGAGACAAAAACCAGCACGACGATTTAACATTACACCATTTAATTAAAGAGATAGAAAGAAAAGAATGGTCAGCAACAACACAGGCACTATCACCACCATTGAATAATAAATAAATGACAATATACATATACATATATATATATATTGTAACTAACTCACATAGATTATTGTTGCTGCCGATGCTGATACTAAAGTCAGATATACACAGGTACTAATTCATAAAAGATCAAAACGATGGAAAGGAGAAGGAGAAGCGGATAATGAATATAAAAAAAAATATATGAAAGAAAAAAGTTTGCAATTTTCTTTTGCTATTTTCAATGTTCAAGTCTTGATTATACTTCGACTGTTAGTACGTCATTTCCTTTTTCTGTCATCAACAATATATTGTTAATTTCCTTTTTTTCCACTAGATTCAAAGTGCAATCTTCTCGAAAAAAATAGTCCGTCTATGTCTCTGTCATGTTAACGTACAATATGAATCATAGAAAAAGGAGAAAATATATGATTAATATTAAATTTACTTTTTCTTTTCCTTTTCTTTCCGTTTTTTTTTTATTTTATTTTATTTTAAACTCACTAATAATATATCATGACTAACATGAAATAAATGATATGAACCAATGAACAAACGTTCCGTTTAGATAAATAGAAAAAGAATTATTTTCACCAATAGAATGTCAAGGATGAGTCAATTACCTGTTCGTGATTCGCTATCAGCTGGCTTGACTTGTATAGGACGACTCATCTAAAGAATAAAAATAATTAGTTTTCTCGAAATATTTGCTAGTTTTTTTGTTATTTATCAAGATATGTGTACGTGTATGTGTTTTGTCTTTACACAACTACTTCACTTCTTTCTTTCTTTTTTTCTCCTCTATCCCTCTACTTCTTCTGCTTCATCGTATTTTCATTCTCATTCTTTCTTGCATTCTCTAATCCACTCTGTCAGTCTATTCTAAGCTACATAATTAGTAATCGGGATGAGGAGACCATCTACTGGGTGGCATGGCGCTTCCGTTTCAACAAGAAGGAGGAGTCTTCTGAACGGTCTTGTCTGCTTCAAAATTAATTGCTAAGCATGCAATACTATGATATGTATATGCATCAATGCTTCTTCCTTCTCTATCCATCATTCTTTTGCCAGAAAGCACACACGCACATACATGCGCTCATTGTAACTCGCCAGAGGCGATTTCCTTTTTTTGTTCTTAGTTCGCTTGACGTTTGTCACGATAGACATAGGATACGACAAGCTTGCCGACATCTCCATTCGGCCATCTGTATATCTTTCTCTCACTTGAACAATAGTAATTGTATACTCTTAACGACGGTTAAGTTCAAAGCAGCAATGAAGAGGAAAATCGACACGTGCCTCATAATGGCTTTCCAGCTTCATTTTCTTTTCATACTTTACTAAGAAATGATGAAAACAATTACTGAAGCCAACCGTATGTAATGAATGAGAAAAACAGACAACCACCAAGAAAGAATAAAAAAAAAATGTCAAATAGTATGACAAGAGACTACATATAAATATACATTCTGGTGCTAAACTTACGATTGTAGTTGAAGATTCCGAAGAAGTAGAAGGAGACGTATCAATGCTGTTGTCACGATATTTTCTTTTCATTGCGCGCTGAAGCGCTCTCCAACTGGCGTATGCTAGTCAGAGTTTAAATGCATGCTCAAACACGCACGCAGATACTTACAAATAAAAAATAGATTGATTCGATAGTTACTATACTCTCTTTATATATATATATATCTATGAATAGTTTTCCGAACAAAAAAAAAGAGAGGAACGATGAGAAGAAATAACTTGATGAGGAAAAAAGAAAAAATCTCGTTTGTCGCATGCGATTTATGAAAAAAAAAGGAAAAGCATGCTCATTGTATGAGTCGGAAACAGCAGTATGCGTCTATTATATAAAAGCGGGAGATGAAATGAACACACACACACATACTCACAAAAAAAGTCCAAGTGAATGGAAGAATAAGTGTGAACAAAGTAGGAGTAGCGAAAGATGTTGATGATTGTCTATATATCCATATGAAATCTGTAAATCAAAATCAATGTATTGACTCGTGTCCATTTTTCTTTTTTTATAATAACAAAACAAATAAATCCCTTAGGTACAGAGGGACAACAAAGTCGTCATCCTTTGATTGTTTCTCTCTGTCGATCAACAATGAAGCCAAAATGTCATTCATCGATTGCTTTTTTTTATTCAACAAAAAAAAAAACGCTAATTTTTTTTCCTATTAACTTTGAGTAAAAAAATTCTTCGCATGAAGTCTCATTTTTTTTCTAATTATTTTAATATACCACTTGTTATATTGATATTGCTTTAGGCATATATATATATATAAATATATGAACGATTATTGTATCAGAATTAATCTTCAACTATGAGCTTATAAGATCCTTTAAAATGGACACATCATTAGTGAACAGAAAACATTTGAGAAAATTCACATATGCATTTTATTTCCCGAGATTATTTCGATATTTAATAGTGACATCTAGAATACATACGCCTGGCAATGTTCGTCGTTCGTGTAATGCTTGTTGTGCTTTGAGTGCTGCATCTCGATGACAGTAGGTGAGAAAAGCACATCCTATAAGAAAGACAAAAGGAAAATCAGATTTCTTATTTTCTAAGAGTACTTAAATATGATTTTTTTTCATAGTTTTCTTTTTTTTTTAAATAAATGACATCTGTTGAAAACTTCTTACCATTAAGTGTATCAACCAACATGATGGAAATTGTAAAAAAGACTGAATGAATGAATGAATATAACGTTTGCTGTTACTTTCGTTTTATTTTAAAAGCTGACCATCTGTCAAGGAAAAAAGAAAAGAAGAAAAAAAATCGAATGATTATTAATATCGTTCATTGCCGTTGGCCGTCGCCCGTCACTGCGAGAAGAAAAAGCAATGCCACTATATAATAGAAGAAAAGTGTCAAAGGGAAAAGAACAAATATTATTTTTTTTTCTCGTTTCCTTCGTTTTCTTCTTTTTGACCACTATGAACGAAAAACACAACGATTCTCGTCGTGAACGAACATATTTGACAAATTATCGAGTCTGTCTTTCTTTTTTCCTATTCTATTTCATGTTCCGCTCGGACAGATGGCTGTAGACACGCGACCTATGTCTTATATACGATCAATCGATCATTTACTCCTACAGGTCATTCATGTTCATAAAAGAATAAAAATGAACATGTATTTTACAACATTTTATAGAGAAATAGAAACCGGAAATATATGTATTTTACTTTATTAAATATACTAAGAATGGTCGTTTTGCCTTAGGCATATAGAGCAAAAAAAAGAAATACATGTCAATTTATCAATTTCTTACCACGATGCATGCCTGTAAATCTATCTTTAAGTACAGTTAATTCATAAATCTGTCCAAATTCTTCAAATATCGGTCTTAGATCATTTTCCTCTAAATGTCGAGGTATTTGTCCAACAAATAATTTAACTGTATCCATATCTTTTAGATCGGATGATGGTGACATTGAATCACGAGACATATAAGTTATAGGTGAATCAATTGGTGACATATATGCGGAACTTGTCTGTTGTATAGGTGTTAATTGAGATGATGAATGAATTTGTTGTCTTTTATTTGGTGTTGATGAATAGGAAATAGACGACGTCGACGTCGTCGGATAGATAGTTGTATATGGCATTGATGATGTTGTTTGAATGGGAGTAAAATAACTATGTGATGATGGTAATTGTTGTTGAAGACTGTATTGCATTGGTAATAGTGATCTGGAAGAATGAGTAAGCATACTTATATATTAAAAAATGCGGAAAAGAAAAAGAAAAAAAGTTGACAGAAGAAAAAAACAGATCGCCGAATGAAAACTACATGACTATGACGACGATTGTTATAGTATTGACACACTCAACACACTTGCTGTAATGCATTCCAAAAATATAGCAACCGAGAAAGAGAGACTATGAAAATAGGCTAGAAGAAAAATCTCCTGTTTCTCTTTTCTCCCAATGTCCCTCGTCGATATCTATACTTGCATTTTTTTTTAATAAGATAGGCAGAAAAGGCAAAAAAAAACTACTGTGAATAGTAAAAAGAGAGAGAAAGAGGGGGAAAATCATCATTGCACTGTCGACTACTGTAGAGAATGAACGACTACAAGAAAGAATTAATTTATATGTAAAACCAAAAAAAAGAGAAGAAAAATGTTTGCAGCTCACGACATCAAGATATTGACATTAGCTGCTGCTGTTGTCGTCATCTCTATAAGCTAAAATACAGGAGAAGATCGATGCGATAATCATCTTTATAAAGGCGTGTGAATAATGATGTCGTTTCCTAGTCTGTCTGAAGACAGAAGAAAAATTCTAGTTACCATCATTTTACTATCTAAAACCAATGACTGATCACAAACGGAAAACATTATTCTCGTTGTACGCATGAGCATGACAACAATTAGGAAATGAGATTCAATCAGTAAGCGGCTAACATTTGCTCATCTTTGAGCTTTTACTCTTATGTCTATCTTGAAAAATAGAAGTCAGACAAAAAAAAGAAAGAAATATGACTCATTATTTTTTATTTTCTAATACTAAACAAATAGATAAAACAAGTTTGTATGTTCAAAGAAAATCTTAATCATTGTGAATTTATTCTTTGAAAGGAAAAAAAAAGATTAGTATTGTAGTTTTATTCTTACACTTGAACGTTTTCTTCTTTTTTTTTAATCAACCGAGAATACCTTAAACTTATTCTCTCTTTTTTTCTCTTTGTCTTATATATGTGTAACTTTAGAAATCAGAAAAAAACATCGTCAACGAGCCTCTCGATCGAACTTGTCTCGATGAGAAATAGCAAATTGATTTTGTGCCGCCGCAACGTTCATCATCTATGTATGATAGAGTAATTTGATTAGGGAAATTTTGAAATAACAGAACAGAAAAGAAATACGAAGAGAGAGAAAAGAATGTAGAGTATATATCTATATATATATTTTTTACTTGACAGATGTATAGATCGAGTTTTCTTATCGATTCAACATCCGATTTATGATTCATTCAATGATGATGCTGATCAACAACGAATTAGTGTCTGACATTCTTTTTCTTCTTTTTTTTTATTTAATAATAATGATAAACTTTAGATATTTAGAATTCGTCACAAACAAAGAATACTTTCATATTCATAAATGCATAGTTAATGTAAATCTTGTTCAATTATTATTTCAGTTGGATATTTATTTCTAACAAATAACAGACAACAGTTGATTAAACATTCGATTGTCCATAGATTTTTAATTTATCCAATTAACATTATCGTTGTATCAATAAAATAGGTCAAAGTTATTGTAAAAGAAAGATGTCTTTGTAATTCTACTTTAAGTTAGCAGCTTTCATGACGTAAAAAATGCTAATTACGGACATTTCTATCCATAAATCACACTTTGACTTGTTTTTTTTTCTACAAAAGAATTCAATTTATCTAAAATACGAACTTATTTCATATATACAATTCAATCTCGACAATATTTATTAGTGATGATAAATAATGTAGATGAAAAAGTTTTTTTTTATATGAATTAAAACTATAAATGCGATTGACATGTCATTGCATAGAGAATCAATTCATTTTATGTAAATAATTTTAACGTAATTGAAAATTACAAAGACATAAAAATTAAATACACTTTACACAGAAACTATTAGTGTAAGATTGAAAAAAAAGGATTGGGTACATCTCTGAGATTGAGAAGAAACTGATCTCGCACCGTATTGTATTAGTCATTGCTGTATTGTATGTAATAAAAATAGAAATACAAAGTAACATTATTAAACGTTAAAGATAGACAAAACGAGAAATCAGTTCTTCTTTTTGGTTTTGCAAATCTAGGCGAAAGCTTTCATATGGGTATATTCTAACTAGTACTTTATGCAAATCATCCAAATATTGATGATACTCTTTGAATTTATACAACTTTTAATAGTCTGTCTATGTGAACAGAAATAATTAGAAAAATATTTTATGAAGTTTCTTATAGCATTTTGTATCTAACGCACCATCGACTGGTATTATAGTATGTACGTTCATATCTGATAATAACAAATGTATCTTATGTCGACTTTTCTAAATAAATTATTAATGGTACATGAATGAAAAAATACGCTTTTTTATACCTGCTTTATGACGACATTATCTTACTAATATTTTGATGAATACGCTTGTCATATTTAGTAATCTCAATCGACCATGACGGAAGTAAGACATTGTAAGCGAACATATGTATTAGTTGTTCTCTATTTCTCCTTTTCTTCATATATGATCATATGCGATTTTACCCTTTTCTCTCACATATATATTCATATGGTATTTTCCTTTCGTTATCTTGATTCATTCTTCTTTTATTCTTTTAATTTGTATTGAAATTTCCCAGTGATAAATGAAAGGATATCACTTAGGTATTTTCCTAGAATATGTTAACTTACAAGAAATGGGAATAATCCAAATGATCATTTCTTGTCCTATAAATACTCGCGTTTTTTTTTCGAAATAAATGAATTATTACAAAGCTTCCAAAACCATCATTTTTCTTATACAAATTACGATATAACTGTAACACACATACATACTGCTTGTGCAAATAAAAAATCCCAATATTAATTACTATCAGTTCTGTGAGATATTATTAATACTCATGCAGCTGTAGAATCGAATGTTATTTTAATGAAAATGGTAAAATACAATCCGTATATCGTGTCTATCTTTCACATGCGTGAAAGAACCACAACACAGACGCTCTTAATTTTAAATTAATAAAGAAAACAAAATAAAATAGATGCAAATGAAGTCATATTTCATAACATACTAAAATTAGTTGTTATATGGAAAAAACAAACATAATGAATTACAAATGTTTAGGAAGAATTCTCTTTGTCATATATAATATTTATTAGTTAATTTAAAATTATTTAAATTAGATTAGTTTAAGATAAAATATAGTCATAAAATAAGTTCAATTGAGGGTGGGTGTGATTATGACTGAGGATGAATGTGCATGTATCTAGAATAAATTAAATATCTATGCCCAAATCCACATTCTCAAGATATCTACATCTCTGTATTTAAAAAAGTGACGTTTCTTATCCTTGTGTGCGTTAGTGACTTTACAGAATATACACTTTTTAACATGTATACAAAATGGCGCAGTTATATTACCTAAATGATTGATAGTTTCATAAAAAATACAATTTATATTTTCCAGAAGCATGATATAAAGGCTGTGAGTAAGAGCGATTGTATACAAAATAAATCAAATGTCTGCATCTTCGTATTTAAAAGAAGTGACTTTTCTTATCCTTGTGTGCGTCAGTGACTTTACAGAATATACATTTTTTAACACGTATACTAAATGGCGCAGCTACATTACCTAAATGATTGATAATTTCATAAAATACAATGCAAACTTTGCAGAAGCATGATATAAATGGGCATACTAAATCTTTTATGATGTCAGTACCCGATTTGTCTCCAGTTGACATGTAGAAGCTGGAAAAGGTAGAGAATAAAATATCATACGATTCAAAATTATTTCGAGATATAAACGATGATCTTCATCAAAAATTTACTCCCTTTCATTCTATTTCAAATGGTGATTTCTTCACCTCAAATTAATCTCCATCTCACAAGTTGGATCAATGCTAATAAAAGTGATGTTGTTTTTCAACGTGATTGTCTTTATGTTACCCCTTCGACCGAAGCAGAAACTGATACTTATCAAATCATTTCTTATTGTTTAACCAATACATCATCAGAATGGAATATTAAAGAAGATACTCTCGGTCAAAAATTTAGTTTTGCTGAACTCCATAAACAAAATATCACTAGTCAACAATTATACATTTGGTCAGCACCAATGGATGTCGTTGAACGTTACCAATTGTATCTAAATAAACTCTCCACTTCAGCTGAGCAAACATTCACAGAATTAACTGTATTCTATAATTGTACAATACCAAGATTTGGTCCGTTATGTCAATATTCACTAATGAATTATGACTCTGATGATTCATCAATAAATGAAGTTGTATATCGCTTCTATCAAGATCCCTATGAGCCGTCTGATTTGACATGTTATACTCATCTAGAATGCAATCGCGGTTCTACATTAGTATGTCTTGATTGGAGTGAAATTTGTAATGGACAGATTGATTGTCTTAACGATGGAATCGACGAAGAAAACTGTTGGCAACTTGAAATTAACGACTGTGAAGAAAACGAATATAGATGTGATAATGGGCAATGTGTAACAAAAATATTTTTGCGCGATGATGAACTCACTTTTGAATGTCTGGATCGATCGGACGAAGGACGGGATTCTTTAGGTATTAACCAGGATATCATTGGTGAACCAACATTTTCACAGGAAGAAGTCATATGTTTAATAGATAGTTCGATGTCTAGTACAAAAATAACAAGCTCATGTGTACTACAACGCTACAGTTTACTGGACGAGAAATTACACGTAGACACACCACACTCTCTAAACTTCACTTGCTGGTTAGCATTTAAGTGCCACTATGGTGTCTCAATTTCGGCGGACTCAGGTTGCGATGAATCCATTTCTAGTGAGATATATAAACAAATAATCAACGAGAGTTGTCCTGATATACTATTTATACCAGCTGGAACACTTATTTTTGGTCATATATACCTTGCTTATATTAAAAAATCCATTGTAGATACGGGTGCCTTTCGACCTGATTATATATGTTACAATGAGCAACTCTGTAGTGGATTTTATTCTAACGTAACCGTATTAAAGTTCAATAATAGCACATGTCGTCGTCCAAAGGATTTTCCGGTTGTCTATATACCACCCAGCGGTGGCTGGATGCAGTGGCATGTTAAGACATTATATAGATATCTTTACCAATGCAATACAATTATTTACAAAGATGCTAGTATTTGCAAGCATCCGACTATGTATCAATGTATTAATTCTTCAAAATGTATTTCAATTTATCGTGTTTGTGATGGACTAATCGATTGTGACAATAAAGACGATGAGCACTGTCCTTCAATCAATGGAACTTGTCCTGCACTTGGAACGCACAAATTCTTCAGATGTATAACAAAGAATACGTGTATTTCTTCAAAGCGTTTGGGAGACGGTTTATGCCAATGTGGAGATGATAAACATGGTCTTTGTGAGGATGAAATTTCAGATGCATATTACATTAGAACGCGCATGTCATTTCCAACGACTTGTGATGGTTTTACAGAACTGATACCTGTTGTTTTTGACGGACGAAATGAAACAGACGAAACTGAATGTGAAAATTGGCAATGTAATAATATTTATACACGCTGCAATGGTGTATGGAATTGTCTCAATGGAGCTGACGAACTTGGTTGTGATTCATCACAATCATTAGCATGTCCGCTTCATCAACACGTATGTATTTCCTCTATGACAAATCAACTCATATGTCTGCCTATCGAATATGCTAATGATGGTAATATTGATTGTGTTGGTGCTACGGATGAGCCAAAACTATGCCGACCAAATTATCATGTGACACGAATGTATCAGAAGTTTTACTGCAAGAATAATGCCGTTCATTCTTGTATATCGAGTATCACATTATGTAGTAAGAATAAGCAGTGCAGTCCTAAAGATGATGAACAGTTTTGTTGTCAGAATCAGACTATTAGTAGACCTCTTGCTATCTGTGATTGTAGAAACGAATCGATATATACCGATGTTAAGAGATTTGTTTGCAAGCACTATGCTGATGAGATGCGCCAATCTTTTTTATACTTTTCCATCGACGCATCTAAACCATCGGTCAAGCAATTAACTGTTGAAGATCAGACAGCACGTTCCCATCCTGCTTCAATTACACACGAATATGATAAACGCTGCCATCGTGGTTTTCCTTTGCTAGTTTGGTTAGATAACGATACCATCGCAAATACTACAGCATGTCTTTGTCCACCTAGTTATTCTGGTGATCGATGTCAATACCAAAATCAACGAGTTAGTCTTACTTTAAAATTTCAAACCTTTTCTCATTCTAGACGAACATTATTTGCTCTGATTGTCTCACTTATTGATGATAGTGACGAACGAATCATTCATTCGTATGAACAACTTATTTATCTTTATATTCAACATTGTCAAACGAAATTCAATATTTATTTACTTTATTCATCTCGACCTAAACTTTCCACAGCGAACTATTCTATTCATATTGACATTTATGAAAAGATCTCATTTATATATCGTGGAAGTCTTTTCGTACCGCTTAACTATCCATTTTTACCTGTACATCGTGTTGCTGTTCAACTGACTATTCCACGTATTAGTGATAGCAAAGAAATTTGTTCAGATCAGAAGTGTATCCATGGTCGATGCGTCAAATATTCAAACAATGCAAAAGAACCTGGATTTTGCCTATGTGATCGAGATTGGTCTGGAAAATATTGTACCATTCCATACACTTGTACGTGTTCATCTGATTCATTATGTATTGGAAGATCAGCAAATAATCGATCTATATGTATTTGTCCTTTGAATAAACGGGGTTCGTTGTGTCTACTTTCAAGTAAGATATGTCACTCTGATCAAAATACCACATGTAATAATAATGGTCAATGTGTATCGGTTAATGAAAATATAGCAACGAATAAGTCATTCATTTGTATGTGTTCAAAAGGTTTTAGTGGAGAACGATGTGAAGAAATAGATAGCAAAATTATCATATCATTTCATAAAGATATTATTTTACCACCATTGGTACTAGTTCATTTCATTCGCGTGTTCCCTGATGCTCCGCCAGAAAATGGTTCTACCTTTAAAATTATTCCTGTCAATCAGAACTCCGTTACTGTTCGATGGTCACATCCATTTCATATCTCCTTTGTCGAACTATTTAATAACAACTATTATTTAATCGCTGTTCAAAATATATACAATCGATCATTTGACATTTCCAAAACACTCCACCCATCAGATCGTTGTAAACATATAAGTGAAGTATTGAGTGAAACTATAGTCAAATTTCATAGACTTCGTCGTATTAAATATTATCATGTACCATGTCGAAATTATACACCATCCTTGTCTTGTTTCTATGATGATAATTATTTTTGTCTATGTAATGATTATGATCATCAACGTGTAGCGAACTGTTTCGAATTTAATCCTTCAATTGAACATGATTGTTTTGGTCAAAGTAATTGTGAAAATGGAGCGCGATGTTTGCAAGACAACGCAATTTGTCCACAAACATCGATATGTGTTTGTCCAGCATGTTTTCACGGAACACAGTGTCAATTTAGTTCAAGCTCCTTTGGTGTTTCACTTGATGCTATTTTAGGTTATCATATTCAACCGCATATTACTATGAAATTTCAACCATCTATTGTCAAATTCAGTATAGCTTTGACAACAATCTTACTTGTAGTTGGTTTGATCAATGGTATTCTTTCCATTATTACTTTTATGAACAAAGAAACACGAAAAGTTGGATGTGGTTTTTATCTATTGGGTACATCAATTACTACTCTACTTATTGTTATTATATTTACATTGAAATTTTCCATACTTATCATTGCACAAATAACATACATTACGAATCAATCATTTCTTAAATTTCAATGTTATTCAATCGATTTTCTTTTACGAACCTGTCTTATAATAGATCAATGGTTGAATGCATGTGTAGCCATAGAAAGAGCTTATACTTTAATCAAACGAACTAGTTTTGACAAAAAGAAAAGTATACAAAGAGCTAAATTTATTATTGTTGCTATTATTCTATTGGCTATCGGTACAACTATTCATGATCCTATTCATCGACATCTCTTATATGAAGATAGTAATAATAATGATGATGATGATGATGATAATGGACAGCGTATTTGGTGTATCGTGACTTATTCAACTTCTTTGCAGACATACAATATGGTGATGAATATATTTCATTTTTTTGCTCCATTTATCATTAATATCATTTCGAGTATTACTATTATTATTATGGCTACTCGACAACGAACAACTGTTCAGACTAATGAACCTTATAGAAAACTCTTATATGAACAATTGAGAGAGCACAGTCATCTTTTAATTGGTCCTATTATCTTAGTAATTCTAGCTTTACCACGTTTAATCATTTCTGTCATTTCAACTTGTATGAATTCAGTCAGCGATTCATGGCTCTTTCTTATTGGATATTTTATATCTTTGTTGCCACCTATGCTTACTTTCGTAGTGTTTGTTCTCCCATACAGACTCTATAAAAAGGAATTCTACGAAACTGTCAGACGATATCGAAAATCAATACAATCACGATTACGTCCTGCTTTATAAAAACATAAATGAACAAACAAATGCTTCTTTTTTTTGTCTTACCGCTATTAGCTTTTAACAGTCAATGCAGTACTCATACCTTAAGATAACTGAATTTTCCAGAATGAAATATTAATGCAATTACATTCAGAATAAAATTATGTGAATAAATGTTCGAAAATCAACATAATACTGTTAACTTTACAGATATTAAACAAGTCTATTTGCTTCAGTAGCAGAATAAGACAATAGTTTGTTCGATCGATCGATTGGAAGTTTCTTAAATTAATGAAAGTCTTATGTAAAACCACTTGTACTTTATAATTGAGGCAAAATGACTCTTAAACGCTTTTCATCCTTTAAAATGTCTACAGAGAAGCATTCTAGAAACAGTACTAAAAGACGATAAATGAAACAAAACGGTGAAATTTTTTAAACGAACATCGTTAGAGACACGAGGACTTCACAGGATTCGCGTTTTAGTCAGAAATCGGTCGCAGCCTCTGTTTTCGAAAAAGGGTATGGGTGTAGGTGTGGGTGTCGATGTGGGTATACGTGTGCGCGTCGTAGTGAATAGAAAGAGTAGACATCACACCACACCCACACCCTCAAGATTTTAGTATCTTATCTATGATTTTCGGATTCCAAAATCTTACAATTGATTCTCAAAAACAACTAAAGACTCCTGAGAATTCTTGGGGATTCCATAAACGTTTTTGGATTCCAGAATTCCGCTCTTTACTCTCTTGTCCATCCCGCAATCTTCTCTGACGAAGCAAGTATCGCGAATGAGTCTGTTGCCTATCTCATGTAAGCAATTGAATGCATGCTGATAAGGATTCTCGGATTCCTTGCGTCAGGTTGCGAGAAGGACACAATGAAGATAAAAAGAGCGTAGAATATTTGCAATGTGCTTATGTATATGTTACTTTTTTCTTTTCTTAATATACACCGTAGTTTGCACGTAAACACTTATATACATTTTTCTGAAAAAACAATTACTGAAAAAATAACTTTCATCGGAAGAATTCATTCGCGACGAGTGGCATCATGCAAAGAGAATCTTTATTTGATTGCATTGGTATTTTAATTGATATACTCAATTTGGCAGAACAGTATACTATATACGGTTTAGTTGTTCAAAATAATTTGGATGACAATAGGGAGCGACTGTTTTTCGGTATCCTACTTGCAGTCGGTTTAGTCATGTTGTTAATATCTAGACACATTGTACATGAGCGTATAAAAATTATCATATTCATATGTGCGGAAGTTGGCGAATGTTTAGCGTATTTATTTATTTTAAAAAGAACGACAGCATTAATAATTGTTACAATCTGTTATCTCTCATTAGAAAGTGTTTTATATATTTTTCGTTTACTTCTACTGATTATGATCGAAAACGACATCCGTTCAAAAATCGTGGTTCTCGACAGCTACCTCAATGGTATACCAGTTTTCGATCATAATAAGTTCAAAAATGAATTATGTACACATTTAAAAATGCATAATTTTCAAGTTCATATAAATTCTTTTGGAACTATGTTAAGTCATCAAAATAATGATCAATCACTTATAGATCGAATATCAGCGTTTAGAGCAGAATATGCTGTGAAGAAAGGATCTAAATGTCGTAGCGGGATATTATTCAGACTCCTGATGACGATAGGGATATACTCATGGCTTAATATGATTCCAATTTCAACAGTAACACTCGCTTCGGATTCCAGTTTTCGAAACAACTTCTATGAAATATTGTTAACTTTAAGTATGTTTTTAACAATATCTATGGTTGAAACTGAAGATGTTCCGAGTTCGAAGATGGGAGATTTTTTTCATATGGATGTACTTCAAAGAATTTTATATTTAATACCGCCAATTTATGCTGCTGTATCTGAACGAAACATACATATTCTTTGCAACGAAACAAAAAAAAACTTTCCAATGGTTAATAACGCCACAAATATAAATATTATTTGGTTTGTTTCCCTCCATATAATAGCTTTATTTCTTTCACCAACACTCATTATCTCGACATTCATCTTCAGTATTACGGAGCTTAAGAAAACAAATTTATCCAAAAATGACCGCTTTTTTTTCATTAGCAGTTTAGTATGCAGCTGTATAGGCATCCTAACGATTTTTATTTTTATGTGCTTCATCAGTTACCTGCTCATAGACCACTTCTTAGAAAAGTGGGTGAGAGTAGGTGCGATTTCCGCACCTACATCTACACCCACACTCACACCCACACCCACACCCACACCATCACACAACACAATTAAATACTTTTTATAATTTTTAATTGAATTTAAATTTTCAATAAAAAGAATGAATGATAGGAAATCAGTGAATAAATGAACGAATGAGAGTAAACGAAAAAAAAATGAGTTTACAACAAAAGAAAGAATGTGAACTTGACGGATAAATAAGACTTTGATACGATTTTTAATTTTAATTTTTAAACAAAAAGACAATACATTGATAAACGACGTGTTTGAAATTTTTTCATTAGACTATATAACTAAATCTGTTCTATTTTCCTGCTTCATCATCGACTTTCGATCTCTTTGTTCCTTTCGTTTTGTATTTCCTAAAAATCAATAAATGAAAATTTTGAATAAGCTCTTCGCTCTCTTTCTTTCTACTTTGATATTTTTAGAGAAATTTTCTAATATATGAATTCTCTTTGGGTTTTACTGTTAATGAATTATTTCAGAACAATTCCTTTGTTTTTCGAAAATGCCATTTTGATATTTTATTTAAAAAAACGAAGAAAAAAGAAAAGTATACAAGTATTCATTTTATAGATGATGGAAAATATTTTCCCTAAAAATGATTCAAAAGATTTTTTTTTCTTTTTTAAATTATATTCTCATACCAACACATGAGATATCTCATTCAAGTTATAATATAGGTACACTTTCAGAAGCTTTTTTAGGGTGTGGGTGAGTGTAGGTGCTAGGCAAATACAGCATCTATACCCACACCCATCTTGAGAGTGAGCTAATAGGAGGAGTTGGGTATAGAAGGAGAAATTGAAGTAATAAACCCATACCCTCAAATCGACAATAACGGTAAAAGATAACCGAATAAATAAGATGTTCTATTTATTCTGACGAAGGTACAATAGTTACATATGCAAGAGTCATTTGTTAACAACAATCTCTGGTGTAAGAAAGAGAACGAAGAAATTATCTTGAGATTGTTTTGCACATTTATCTATTCACATTTTCATTATTTGTTTTTTTTTGTTAATGTAGCGCCTTCTTCTTATACTTCAGTATTTCAACGCTTACAATGGAGTCTCTATATAGAAAATTCATTGAAAATTGCAATATCCTCGCTTAAACACTGTTCCACAATACAAATCCTTCCTTTCTTGATAATTCTTTTTTATGACATTAGAAATGTCTTTCGTTAACTTTGATCGTTGTGTTACTTGTTCTCTACCAATAAAACTTTCGATAATATACGCTTACAATTTCGTAAATTCGTGTGCCTTCTTAATATGAATTGGGATGATTGTACCAATTACATTCAAAAGGTCAAACCTTAAAATAAGATTATTCACAAAAGTGACTACTCTTTAGAATAATACAAAAATAGAAGAAATATGTAACAGGCTTCTTCTTTCAATATTATTGTTAAAAATAAGCAATTACAATATGTCGTTATCTTTATTTCTTTTCTCTAATCGAACTTGGTATACGAGTTTTTATTATATCTATTTCTAGTATCATGACATCGATTCGGTATGAAATCAACGATGAATTCTATCTCAATGATATATTGAGCAAAGAAGACATTCCATCATTGATTAAATACCTCAATAATCCCAAATTGATTGGCAACACTTTGACTATACCTCATCCATTCACGGTATCCGATGGTGAAACACTAATGGAATCAATGAAATCGATTTCACCCAAATTAAAACGTTTATTCACTCTTCGCTTGTGTCTTACAGATGAGCTTGTAGGTATATGCAGTCTCTCTCGTTCAAGCAATGAGGATCATATCGCCGAACTTAGCTGTTGGTTAGGTGAACCATTTTGGCATCGTGGTTTGATGCCTCAAGTTATACGCAAAGTTATCGAAGTAGTATCAAACGAATGGGACAACTTGATTCGAATCGAAGCTCATGTATTTCCATGGAATAAACCATCGATGCGTATGCTTGAAAAGATTAATTTTCTCTTCGAAGCTACTTTACGTAAACATAACTTCAAGAACGGACAATACAATGATGGTTTACTGTACTCATTTATTATAGAAAAATAAGGGAACAACTTCGTATTTTTTTTTGTGTACGCTAATTAATAATTTTATATTCAATATAATTACGTAGAAAATGATGATATTGTTTTATCAATACTTGTAGAAAAACAGTTGAAATAAAATGAGATTTTAGAGATGTTCTGCTGGGGTATAGTTGTAGGTAGGTATACGAATACACCCAAACCCGCACCCACATCCAAGATCATATATTGAGTAATTTTGTTAAAATCTTTCATCATCATAAATATAGATATGATCAATCCGAAAGAAATAAAAATAAACAAATCATGATCACATACTCAAAAATCTATTTTTCTTTTATTTCGTTCAAATCTAATAGTATTAAGATTTATCAATGAATAGACATTTGATTAGATGATATATTTCTTAATACAATACAATACATTACATGTTCAATTAGCTGAATAGAACAAAAGTCAAGTAGTCATTCATTTGTGACATAAAAATTATTTTGTACTAAAATATCTAATGTTGCAATTCATGGTATATAATTATATTTCAGATATTAGTTCCAAAAGGTAGATAATTTTTATCTAATATAGAATCGCACATCTTCTCGTCTTCAAAATGTTTTCTCTTGAAAAAGTTATAATGAAATTTATACGACAAACATATGGTTGAATATTTGTGCACTTTTCTAAACTTGAGTGTTTGTAGATGAAATATAAAAGAGAATAATTAATTTGTTGATAGACAAGATAAGAAAAGTAAACGAGAAGAGGTTCAGTGTTTTAACTCATTTATTTTTTTTTTCTCGTATAGATCTCATTTCATATACAAGCATATCGTTATTGGCAACAAACAAAAGAAACTTTTTATTACTATGACGCTATGATTTTATCAATTTAGATCAAAACTATTAATAAAACACGTATGAATCTAATTCGTAAGAAGAAATTGGAATGTATTTTTTAACAAAAGAATTTGCCAGTGACTAAGTAAAAGACGTGTGTATGCTTTATTCTCTCTCTCTCTTCTCTCTACCTACGCACATATACATACAATTAAAAAGCGATAAGAATGAAAAATATAGTTATAAAAAAATCAGACTAGATGTTATTTAAGATGATATTGTCTTATTCACCTTGAATTCTTTTGTATAATAAGAAATTGAATAAATAACACAACGATAATAACGAATATTACACTTTTAATCTGACTTTCATATTCTATACATCAATTTATAGATCACAACATTCACTATATCGTTCGAGAAATGTGATCCGCTTTTGCTAATGATATTGCCTTTTGATATTCATTCATTCACTTATATACAATCTCAATGGCACCATGAAATAAAACGAAGTATGTATATTCAGTGATGGTATACGATTGCAGTCTAGACTTTGATGTTTTTATTGTTTATTATAATAGTTAGAAATTCAATTATATGTATATAGATATATGTACAAAATACAGTACAGCATATTTATAACAAAGAGATAAGACCATGTGTTTTTTTTCTCTCTTTTTTTTTCATCGCTAAATATTAGAATAGTATGTAATGCTTCTGTTATTTTCTGATTTGCCGTTGATACCAATTCATTATTATTTTTTTCTCTGGTATTATCAACGATTATCTTGAAAAAAAAATAATGATTATCGATCGAGGTGGTAATGATAATTCAGGATTTGTTATTGATTACAATGTTACATCATCATTATGTTCAATACGAAAGATCAGGTTTTGTAATTAAACAAATAATTGTGTGAATCAGAACGACCGCATGTTGATAAACTTTCAAAATGAGAAAGAGAGAATTGTTTCGTTATCATATCTTTCTTTTTCTTTTGAGTCATCTATGATAATAAGAGTCATGAGTTATTATTTAACCTTGTTTTCTTTTCTAATTTTTTTAAAGTGAACAACAACCTTTAAGTAACAGTGCTAATCCTATTCGACAATATGCAATGATGAGTGACAACAATGAGAATATATTTGATATTAAATACAAAGTTTTACTACTTGGAGATACACTTGTAGGTAAAACATCGTTACAACGTTATATTGCTGGAAAAGATTTTCGACCAAATATTGGTTCTACTATCGGTATGATGAAAATTTTTAATTTGAAAAAGAAACATAATTAACTAAATTGATTTTTATAGGTGTAGATTTTGTTAATAAAATTATTCCAGTTGAAAAAGCGAAGGTTAATTTACAGATATGGTAAGAATTTTAACTAGATTAATATATTGTTTTCATTATTCTATTAAAAGGGATACAGCTGGTCAAAAGAATTTTCGATCACTTGGTAGAAGTTATTATGCAGCAACAAAAGCGTTTGTACTTGTTTATGATGTTACAAATGAAGAAACATTTTTTTTAATCGAAGAATTTTCTCGACTAATCGATCAAGTTTGTTGAGAAAGAAAAATTGTTATTTAAATCTAGTTTTCTAATAAATTCAGGCTGGATTAGATATGGAACGACGATATTTAGTAGCAAATAAAATTGATTTAATAGAAAATCGAAAAATTGATGAAGAACAAGGCCGACGAGTAAAATATAAACACATATATATATATACATATTTATTATTTCTATTATTTAGTTTGCTCTACGAAATAGTATGACTTATTTTGAAACAAGTTGTAAAACAGGTGAAAATGTTCATGATCTTTTCGAACAAATTGCTTCGGATCTTGTTCGTCAATTTAATCCAAAAATTGTATGTCATTTTATTTTTGTATTCTCATTAACTCGCTTCTTCTTTTTAGCTTGAATCCCATAGACCTATGAAAGATAATTTTGCCTTTAATTATCATACATCAACAATATCGAATTATGAAGCACGTACTACTACTACTACTACTAATAATAATCAGCCAATAAAGCAATCCAGGAAGCCAGCAAAAATGTATTTTTCACCATCAACTTATGAAGCAATTGAAAACCATAAAAAATTTTCTTTTCGTCGTTTTATTGTCTGCTGTAATCCAAGAAAAACAACAGCAACCATGGACTAAAAAACGAAAGACATTTTCCATATATATATATTTTTATTAAATGCATTCTCAGGTGTATGTATGTTTTTTTTTATTTACTTATAAATATCCTCTTTCATTTGTCTATAACATAATCATATATAAAACTTGATCAAGATAGTAGTACCATTGATTATTCATCCATCATTTAACTGTTGCTTTAAATAATAAGAATAATCCTATTATGTTCTTTAATGTAAAAATAAATGACCCAAATCTTGTTTTAGTTCATAGTTGAGAAAATATGTGTTAATAATACCTATTAATATAAATGAATCAATGTACTCAACTAATCGGCTTTTTTTCATGTTATCAATACGAAGTGCTAAGAATAACGTACATGCAAATATTAATGAATTACAATGTCAACAATGCTGATTAGAAATCGACATATACAGATGTTAAATATTTCTTATGTGTAAAAAATTCATATTGTTCTAGTTTTATTTTGCAATAATATAAATTAAAAGAATAAATATAACAAAATAGTATAACTAAAGCTATTTGTTGCATAGCTATTTCTTTGTTTTATAATCATATGCATATAATATCACATATTATACATCAGTTTCAAAAAAGACTTGATTTTTTTTATATAAACTTCTTTTTGGATGTTTATTTGTTATTAATATTGGTTTTAGATCGTCATCATCATCATCATGAAATGGAATTGTTGTTGGAACATGTTGTTCTTTTATTGCTGTTGCATTATCTCGAATAAGTGGATGACGAGATAAACTAGGAGTAAGTGGTTGATCACTATTTGGTGTATTCCATGGTGTATTATCTAAAAGATGTGCAATACAATCATCAGCATTCACATCCAATTGTTCATTAGTATCATTATCATCATAGTCATATGCAAACGGTTGAAGATTTTCTAATGTAAATGTTACATTATTATCATTCATATCATCGAGAGTTAGTTTTGTTGACGAATCAGAAACAAGTTTCATTTCCATGGGGATATTTTCATAAGTAAGATCTCCATTTTCAGCAATACGAGATAACATTTGTTTTACGATATTCTGTTGGGGATTTTGATCATCTTGTGCTATTTGTATTGATAAACGTCGTAATGTCGTTCGTCTTTGTAAAGTAAGAGCTTTTTTCCGACGATGATTCTGAATAATAACAGGTAAAAGCATTATAACACTTAATGCATACATCATCGGTACAAATAATGGATTATAAGACGGGAGAAAAACTTCTGGTAAATCAGGATCTATTTCATCTTTTTTAAATAAACGTATATCTTTACATTGAATATTGAGATTATTCACTTGTAAAATAAAATGAAAACAAATAATAAATAAATGACGTATATTTAGTGTAAAATTTTGATGAAAAATTTCAATAGAATGTTCTTCTGATTTATTATTTGTCGATAAAAATAAACCAAATTTTAATTGTTCATCTCCAAATTCACGAAATGTAATAAAATATGAATAATTTGTTGTTAGATTATACCATAATATTATTGTATCATTTTCTCCATAGTCTAGATTAATATTCAATGAATTAGTAATTTTTGTTTGATTATTCGATAAAGATATAACAGAATACATAAAACAATAAATAATAATAATAATAGAATATGATGACATAAACGAATTTAATATTTAACTAGTATGAAAACTTTCTATCATTGAATCTAATTGTTGATAATAACAGGAAAAAAAATAAAAAAAAAATTTTTTTTTTTCTATATAAACATTAAGTTTTCTTAACTGTTAGCATTTTTCTTGTTCTTTTTCTTTTCTCCTGTAATGACATACGTTTGCGTCAGGCAATAGAAAAACCTGCTAGAAAGTGATGTATGTGTCGTATCTATACATTAGAGAATGGTCTTCGTGTCAATGAACCATGAGTCGGTAAAAATTTGCTTTGGTTTCTTTTTCTTTCTCTCTCTTTTCCATTAGCGTTTTTTTTCCCGCCAAAAAGAAAGAGAAAGAAGCGAAAGGCATGCTTATACTTATTGATATATATATCCTTACATTTTTATGACAGTAATGGTTGTATTAAAACTTTTCCGAAAGACATTTTTCAGTTATTTCCAAAAGAATTATAATAAAAAAAAACTAGTTGCAATCTTAACGAGAAAGAGCATTACTGCATGTTCAATATAAAAATATACACAAGATCTATATTATCATGAAATCATGTTTTTTGTTAGTTACTGAGAATGAAAAAAAACATTGATAATATAATTATTATAAACATTAACATAAATAGATTATTATTCTAAACTATTAGATATCTTAATACTTCATTTGCAAGCAATTTTATTATTGTTTATCACAGATTGATAGAACGATACTTAATCTTATCTCCTGTCATAATCTTGCGTGTCTTTTTATTTATTCAATGTACTTTTAATAGAAAAGAATTGCAAGTAACTCATGACCTAAATCATTTTTCTCTAAAATATCTTACACAGTTCACTGCCGTATGAAGTATACTATAAAAAAAGTATGACAAATATATCATATGAGAGTACGGAAACAGAAAGGAGAAGTGCTTATTAGTCATATAGAAATAAATAGAACAATGTAAACATAGTGATTTATAACATAAAAGAGAATTGTTTAGAAATGTAGACAATAGACAGAACATAGAGAAACGAAGTCTGATACTGCTATTTGGAAACAAAGTGAAGGAAGTAATATTGAATAATAACAATTTCAATAGCAGTTTCTATGAAATATGTCAAAATCGACCAAAGGGAAAATTAGTTTTACCATAATATAGTTTTTCCATCGAATGCGCATTTCTAATCCGACTATTTTCTTTCTGTTTTTTATTATTGTCTGTTCTAGCTTGCATTTTTTTCCTTCCTATATAAAATTACCATATTATATGAATTTATTTTTGGAAATTATATTCCTTCTATTAAATATTTTCAAATATTAAACAATATAGATTATTTTATTCAGAAAAATTAACTAAATTGAATGACGTATTTAGATTATATTTTTGATGATTTTCATTAGTCTCTCATATCCATAAAAGCTATCTAAACAATGCTGAGCATAATGAAAATGGACAGCTTATACTTATATAAGTATGTTACTAAAGGAAGTGATTATTATAGAACAGGAGTTTTAGTTAAAAGCAGGGGTCTATGAAAATTTATAGAAAAAGAAATCAGGAAATTAGTATTGATGCATGGTTTGTATACTTGTATGTGCTCTCCGAAATGAATTATTTACATAAAAATAGATCATATAAAATATATACAGGACGTTCTAACTTATTTACTTAACACTTTCCATTGAATTTTCCCCATTTTCCAATTAGATGAAGAATAAAAACAAATCAAGGGTTTTATATGTAAAAATTGTATGTCTGAATGCACTAAAGATATAATGTATTTTGTGACAAAAAAGTCAGTTGTTTAAAATTATTATTTCCAAATTTATTTTTATCAAAAGAGAAATCGCTTTAGCTAGTTAAAACATAGTTCTTAAATATATAAAAAACATCATTATTTTGTTTTGTTTTCAGTCAATATTTGATAATACTTCAATTGAGTCAAAATCTACATGAATGACAGAATGACATCAAGTTCAATTCAACTTGAAAAAGCAATGATTATTCTTATTTATTAAGAAAACAATTAAGGTCATCAAGAATAAGCTCGAACTCTATATACATTAAATATGTTTTTCTCTTAGAATTTTTTAATAGATTTATGTTAGTCACTACATCGTTTTTAGTTTACAGTATGTTCATAATTCTCTTTTTGCTCTCGAATATTTACGATCATTTTTAATACTTATTCTTAATGGTAAACATCACGATTAATGAATAAACGTTTTTGTGTAACAACGATCAGTCATACATACATTATACTTAAACAACATATATATGTTATTAATAACAAAACGCATCAATCGTCGGTCTAACTATAATATAATTGACTTGAACAATAAGAAATTATTGCTTAATTGAAAAGCTTTAGAGAAACTAATAATAAAAAAAGATATTAAACTGATTTGTTTTTGAGCAAGGAACAAATAATCAATTATGAGTTTAGAAATTTTTTATGGGTTTTTGCTCAAGAATAATGAGGGAATCTTTGAAAAGCCGAGAAAACTTGTTTGGACTGAAAATCTTTTCATACTTCTTTATTTTTTCACTATTGCAGTTTCGAAAATAAAAGTTGGAACCTTTATTACTCAATCAGCTGGTAGAACAAAATCTGCTATACAAAATGTACTATTTGATTTTTGTTTTGGTCTAAAGGCAAGATTTCTCAATTTTTTCTATATCCTGATTCATGAGAAATCGACTTCTTGATCAAAAGGTGTTTTTCACAAAAAGGAGCTTCTGAGAAAATACATATAACTTCACTTATGTTAAAGCTATGACTTAAGGGTGCGCGTGGTTAGGTATGTGAATAAAGAAAAGATTAGTTCTCACTCACACGCATAGCCTTCATGACTAGTTTCGAACAGAAAGAGAGCCCATATGGTTGATATTCGCATCATTTACTTCCCAAGTAGTCATTAAATATTTGAGATAAGCACGTTTCTTATCTACGACCATATTTGTTTGAATAATGCTTCATCAATTACTTCTCGGCAGAATTGCTTTCGGTGAATAACCATTGAAATAGTTATCATGCTTGTCTCTCTTACTATAAATATATAAATTCGATGAAAAGCAGTACTTACTTCGCATTATTGATATTGAAGAGCAAAGATGACATTGAAGCGCATAGTACTTTTAGTGATGTTGATCGAAATGGTGAATGGCTATGATATTGATGCTGACCTAGCGCGTGGTCTAATTTCTAACGATTCACTTCTCATTCAACTCAAATCAAATGATTACATGCATTTAAGTGATTATCCTGAAGATTGTGCTGCAGTTTATCTCAATGCAATCGCATCACAACAACACACTACTACTGGTGTCTATGAGATTTGGCCTAGACAAGGTTTGAACTCTCGCTTTTCTCATCATTTCTATTGTTTGCATACTGATTATCATTCCCACTACTGAAAGGAGGATTACTCACCAGGCGACTGCATCGAAAACGAGCAGATGTTCGTTCGTTCGCTTCTTTGTTCATAACATTCACACATATAGCCATCTGTTTATCAATCTCCCTATGAAAGTACGAGAGGGAAGGACGAGGGGAGAGGCAATTTCATCTAACAGAGTACGGAGATGCAGGAACTGAAGCATTGGGACGGGGAAAAGGAAGCATAAATTCCACTGCAATCGGCAGCTTTCGGTAGAAGGCTTAATGACGTTTATGATACTTTACTTGTAGGTAAACCAATGAAAGTATGGTGTGACATGGATACAGATGGTGGTGGATGGACAGTTTTTCAGAAGCGAGGTGATTTCACTCCACAAGAAGACTTTTATCGAACATGGTTGGAATATAAGCGAGGTTTTGGAGATCTTCATCGACAATTTTGGCTCGGCAATGATCGTCTATCAATGTTGACTAATCAAGATCTATATCAACTAAGAGTTGACATGGAAGATTTTGA